GTTTTGTAAATTAAAAGCTTGTGGAAAAACTTTTTTCAGAAAACAATTTCACAAAACAAATTTTTTCGTTTGTCATGGCTCAAAATTGGGTTGATTGCTTAGATTACAATTTTGAACATAAGCATACCTGGTTTTGTGTTACAGCTTGGATTCCATGTATTACCTTATACTACATTGGATCTAGAATCCACATGAGAGTCTGGGCAGTTTTGTCTGTGGTTTTCGGCTTGCTGATCATCGGTTTACTCATTGCCGAAAGCTGCATTAAATTGAAAATTCGCGAGGAGGAACGTTCAGCAATTTACGAAGGCAGTGATCAATTGGCCGAAAACAGCGAAGATTACGAACTGGGCGACAAAATCAAGCTCTCAAGTTGGGAGAAAGGATATCTGGTTGCGTTGGCGTTGTCTCTTGTTGTGTTCTTAGGCTGGTGTTTTCTATCTTTAAAACCCTTCCCCCTCTCCTCTAAGACTACAATCATTATCAGCACTATAAAAAACATTATGAAGAAAAAACAAAATCTTAAATATATTTTTTTGGAAACTTTACTAACTCCTGACCTAATTTTGTGTAACATTCGGCACTCAGTCGCATGAAAACATCCAATATTTTATCAAAATTCCATCAGCGCATGAAGCTTTGTGCGAAACTGTTTTATATTTCTATAAAAACGAGATTAACTTCGAACCCCTTATTTTTGCATCAAAACTTTTTTGTAATTTTTACAAAAGTGCTGGGAATCAGAAGAAGGGAGAGTGAGGGTGAGAGGGAGGGGGGAGGGGTGGACTTGGTGAGTGGGGGAGGTATGTCAATGGGAGAACTTTTTCAGGCTACACTTCCACCATCGCCCTCTATCGGATGAAAATCAGGGAAAAATTCAATCTGAAAGGAAGTCTGCATGGCGATTGTTGCATGGCTGGTGTCTGTTCCAATTGCCTCTTGTGCCAACTGACAGCTCAGCTTGCTTATGAGGAAGAAAAAGAAAATCAAGCTCAGAAATGCAAGCCAGCCATCTCGAATATCAGTAGAGTATGATCGAAAGTTATTGCATGTTGATTTTGAAATCATTTAATTTAATAATCTAAACAGAAGCAGACTCAATCTTTTAGGCACATTTACTATACTTTTTGATAGTCTGCAGCTTATGAAAAAGTTTGAATAGTTCACTAATCAATCTATATTTATTGGCGAAATTGGCGTTAAATTGTGAACAAAACAGTCTGAGATGGTGCTGAAAAAAGATTGGCTAATTACATACATGCAGATTGACGCAAAATAGTATCAGTTCAAGATGTCGAAATACTGTTTTTTGAGCGGAATAAGTAAAAAAAACCAGAAAAAACTGATCAAAGTTGTTTCTATGGCAAATCAATTTTACCAGTTTTTCTCGAGATATGAGGCTAGGTTTAAACTTTTGTGAGGAATCCGGATCGCGGCTCGAAAGGCTTCATTATTATAGCTTGATGCTTGACAAACGTTCTGAAGGTTTTTTTGCGATTTAAAAACTCGACTTGAGTCTTTTCTGTTATACGGCCCAAAATTGCCAAATTGTTCTTTGAGCTTCTGTGTTTAATGAAAACTTGATTTTATTTTGCTGTTAATAAATGTTAATGATTTCAACCAATCAGATTTGAGAATTGTGATGCAATTTTAAAATTAACAAAAAGAACAGTTTTAGGCCGTATAACAGAAAAGACCCCATAACCTACACCGAAGTTCTTTTCTATTTCTAAATTTCCTAACTTTCATTAATTGAGGCAAAGCAACAACGATTGATGTTGAGAAGCGATAATTTTCAAATCCGAAAAATCAACTCGCAAAACTTGATAATGAAGATACAATTTAAACTAGAATAGCCAGTTACTGTGCAATTAGCACAGAACGTTCCGACTATTGTCCTTAGAAAACTACGTTTTAAAACATGACTTTTCCAAACTAGTGTAGTTTTCATTGCTTGATGCGATAAAAAGATCTGACGTAAAAAAACAATTTAGGCATATTAGACAGTAATAGTAATATAGAGAAATTCGACAAAAATTTTTGTAGAAAAACGACTAGAAAAACTTTTTAAAAAATCTATAAAAAAACTACTTTTTTAAAAAAAATTTTGCAATTAATTTTTGAATTTTGTGAAATTTCTGGTTCCCAAAATGAAGTTGAAAAACATCAAAATTTAGTTTACTTGTTTAAAATTAATTTTTAAGTCTTAAATAAGGCATAATTCAGTTGTTGTAAGCCTGCTCGCTTGCTTCATTTGCTCGAATTAAGACGAAAAATCAAAAATTTTGAACCAATTTTTCTGGACAGTGGGAAAAATTTCTGGGATTTTCTAAATGTGGATCAAATTGCAAAAGAAAGGGTTTTAATATGATATATATCTCAACCCAGTCCGATGATAATTTGTAGTACCTGATTTTGCGTGGAAATCAAAAAGAAAAAAAATTAAAACACACTCGAATTTTATGTTCTTTCCCATTTTCAATGTTCGGAACAATAATCTCATGGCAATAGCAATGAAAGTGAACTGTTTGCCTAGAACAGTAGTCACTCGAGAAGCAAAAACATGCGAAAGAAGTTAAGTAGTTCAGAATGCAGCAAAATTAGTTTTCTCAATACAACGCACTAGCGCTGATTTTCTGTATTTATTCATAGGGGTGGAGATTCTTAAGTAGATCCAATTGATATTTATTTTCAAGCTGGGCGGGTTTATTGCCTTTTTATAACTTCATTGCTGATTTGATTTTGGATACTGCAAGTTTTGTTTTGCAATGATTAAGTGGATTTTTTTTTGCAATTACCATTAAATGAATGAAAAACATTTGATATTATTTTAAAAGTTAAGAAATTAAATTCATTGTTTCGAGAAACCAGAAATCGTAATACAACAGAAGCATTCATTTGTGTAAAAAAGCATTTGCAAAGTCCAAGAGTTGAAAACATCAATAGTTAAGCATAAATTTTGAGTTATTTTGTTCGAGTTGTTTTCGAGCTAGTAACCATTGGTCCCAAAATAGTTTATTACTTAGGGTACTTAGGTTACGGAAAAGTAAAACCAAATAAACGAATTAACAAAAGGAGTTTCTCATAATGGATATCCCATAACTCCTGTAACGTTAACTTCTCTGAGTTGAACAGTAGGGACTAAATTTTTGCCTTCCTTCTTACAATTAAATCAACAGAACTTTAACAAATTAGAAGTCAAACCGCTGAAAAGTTAATTTGAGCCTGCACAAATGTTAAGACTTCTCCTTAAAAAAAGAAGTAGCGTTGCTACCTCTATGAGAATCTGAACTACGCTCATTGACTCTTATAAAGTTTGAGAAGAATTCTACTCAGATTATGGTTTCCTGGAGTGGCTTTTATCAAGTTTTTACACTAGCCAGGTTTATGTGAGCATTGATACTTCAGTATATTAGTTAGATAACAGATTGGCTTCTGGTGATATGTTTTATGAAACATCTCAAATGACTAATGACTGCCAAAAAAACTGACTGCTGTTCATTTGTGATGACTGATTATGAGAAGAACAGCTAGCAGCTAACTTCAAATAGACAAATATGAAACAACAGAAAAAGTAGCTTCAAAAGGAACTGCATACACATTTCAAAGAAACAAGGTCAAAAAAATTTACGGCGCTGATCGTGTTGTATTGCAAATATTTTGCTACATGCATCAACTTGGTCGAAAAAAAATTAACGAAAACAAACAACAGACTTTGACTTAATTCTCATATGAATGAGCTAAGCAAAACTGAATCCAATTGTTAATTTACCTAGTTGCAGGCTGAAAAAAAGACACAAGAACACAGGGGAATTTTCAAGAATTGCAATTTCTGTAGTTAGAAACCAGGAAAAATGAATATTTTGTATTTTAGTAGTTAGACAAAACTATAGATGTTTTTTTTTCCAGTTTGTTTCAAGAATGGGAGGGTACTACATTAAAAGTGTAGTGAATGGGGAATGCTCAAAGCAATTTTGTCATGTTTAATGACTTTGCTTATACAAAGGTTGCCCAAAATTGTGATCTAATCAAATCATAGCCAACAAATTTGAAAAGGAGTCGAGCAACGCGAGGCAAAAACGTCAATGTTTGAATTTCAGAAAAATATATTGGCTACAAACTTTAAATTTCAACTAAAAATTAAGATTGACACCTTTTGACAAAAATTTGAGAAAACTCGATCAATAGAACACAGCCATTTTTTCTAACTCCAAAGTTTCATTTTTCCTACTCCAAAAAAAATATCTACCATCACATCTTTTCGAATTGCACGAACAATTTATAGTCGGTGCTTTTTTTTGATACAGCTACCCCAATGTGAGAAAAACGGATCAGATGGTAAAATGTTTATTTCGCTGAGAACTCTGATATTTAAATTGCAATTTCAAAAATAGAAGTCGATCAGGGTTTTCGAGACCTTCACATTTTTACTGTTTGATAGTAGTGTTTTCCTTCCTCTTAACAAAAAAAATGAAAAAAAAAACTTCAAAAAAAATAAAACTTTAAAATTGAGCGAGAACAACATTTCATGTTTTTCTGAAAAAAAAAATCACCACGACCAATATAAGAATACTCGCTCCGTTCTTCTCTTAGAGTTTTTATTCCGCAGGAAAATCTCAAAAATAAAACCGACTGTCGAAAAAAGAAGTCAATCACATTTTTCGTCACCTTAACACTTTTAAGGAACTGAAAGAAAAGAAATCAAATCACTTCAAATGTAAAAAGCAAAAATGCAAAGCATAAAAAAAGCAAGCAAATGGTTTTTTCACGTTTTGAAAAAAAAACGTTCAGAAAAAACACTAAACACGATTTTTAAATCTAAGGGTCAGATGAAATGAGTCAAGGAGCGTTATCAAACTTAGTATTTTCCCAGAACAATGAACTCAAAAACCATCTTCCTTGCCTTATTTTAGACACAAAAAAAACGAAGTCTGAGTAAACGGACTAGGGCAGAAATCTTTGACCCATAATTATGCTTCAAATTGGTGACTGAAAACATATGCTGTGAAAGTATTAATTTTGCTCGTATAAATGGATTTCTAAAGTGAATTAGGTATTGAAATTTGGAGATTTGCGATTACGAGATTAATAAGCACGTGTTATATAACTGAAACTTCAATAGATAGAAAACTTTTCAAAATCCAAACAAACATTAGCCAAGCAGTATTCATTTCTGCAAGTGCTTCATCAAACTTGACTGCAAAAGGTGGACGGTTTTGCATTCTTCGACTTTCAACTCAAAAACTTCTCTACTCTTTCCCAGTATAAAGATCTACATAACATTTCCCCCACCCTTGTGGTATCTACTTGGGAATCGCCACCCCTATAAATAAATACAGTAAACTAGCACTAGAAATTTCTAGTAAGAATTAAATTTTTCTGCTTTCTGACTGGTTGAAAATTCGGAGGGGGGATTGTAAAGTAGATCCCATTATACACTGGTCATTATTTTTAAAATCAATTAGAGCCTTTCAATATCCTAAATAGAAGCCATAACTTCGATATCGTGAACTTTAAATTTCCAATATGACTTATAATGCCATAGGGATGATATTTTACTGAACACTCAAATGCTTCAAAAACCTTAAATTTCATAATCATTAAAAATGAAAGCCGCTAGAATGGGCTGTATAATGGGAAAGAGTCTTTCTATGGTTGTATTTACATTATCTACATTAGTACTGCAAACAGCAAAAGCACTACAGAAAGGAAGATAGACTTGTAATGTGAATTTCACTAGGTAGAGCTGGCAAATAATAAATTAATTAGTTGATTCAATTTAAATTCAAAACCTGATTAGCTTTGTTTCGCTAGAGCAGTACTTTCGATTGGAACAAACTAAGCAGTTTAGTTGTCAGAATAGTTACGGTCTGAAAAAATTTAATTGGATTCAAAAATTAGAGCACCGAACAAACAATCAAGTTAACAAAAACAATTAATATCGACATTTAGCTATGACATAAATCAATTTATGAACGCGAAATACATGTTTTAGAGATGATAGGATGTTGAAATTCAAAAAAAGTGATCTTAGGTTTCGCGACTCAAAAGACTTTTATTTCACCTGAGCTGTTTTCAAATGGAAAGCTCCGTCAAGACATAGATTTATATTGTTTACAAAGATTTTTGTGAGCTACCTGCGCTTCTATTCTGAGACAAAAATTACTATGCTATAGGTAAACCAACTGCTTTCTTAAAAAAATTTGAATTTAAACGTCAAATAGCATCAAAACTTCGTTTACAAACTAATACCAAGTTTGTTTCATTTTCATCCTTGTTTGTCGTTCGGCAAGTTACTAAGAGATCCTGCATAACAGGTACAGCCCGGTTCCAAGAAACAAGTCAATTCCTAGAAACCAGTCAAGTTCCTAGAAATCAGTCAAGTTCTTGGCAACCGTTTTTTTAGGAATCTGTCAGCTCGAAGCAGTGATGTTTAGCTAGTGCCCGGATGAGGAGACGCAACCGCATCCACCACTGGGTCTTGGGTCTGGTCAGTTTCAAGTCGGCGTCTTGGGCTACTTTTTCGATGGGGATGAACTCCAGTTTCCCGTAGACCATCCCGAGCACTACTGAGGTTTCGGGTGTGATCGTCAGTACAGTCGCTGAAAAGAAAATGCTTGTTTACAAACTACAAAAACAAATTAATAATTACTTTAACTATTAAAAATCTAAACAGAATCGTAAAAAAGCAGTATTGTGCTCATCAAAATACAAATCAAGAAATTCATTAGCGCATTTGTTTTTCGACCATGCTTCGGCAAAAGAAGAGTTTTTACAATAATAATTCTGCGAAGATTTAAAATTTTGAAAAATGTACACGAATTGGCCAACAAAGGGATTCGAAAACAGTCAATTTCGAGTCATTTGCCTTTCCCACTGATGCATCCGCGTCGATGTTTTTTTTGTGTACTTATCACATCTTCTAACAGTAACGCCATGCAGAATTGAATGCGCTTTAAAACATCGCATAAAACATAGTCAATGGAAATCAAACATTTATAAAGTGTCTGTTGGCTGTTTCCGACTTTCAGTGGAAAAAATCACATTCAGGCTCTTTGAATTTCAAAAAATCTTGTCCATTAGTGAAACTATAATTCATTCATTTATTATTGCGCTGATTGCACTTTTGTTATCGAAGATCGTAATTTTCCCTTTTAGTTAGTTAATTTGAATAAAAGCTTAAAAGTTATCAAAAGTCAAATCGCAAAAAAAAACACATTGACATCTAAACAGATGTAAATCTTATAATAAAACACTCTCTAAATAGATTTTGAGCAGTACACACATACTAAGACAGTGAACACAAAATTATGCGACCAATTGTCCCAAATATATGGCTACTTACATTGATCGACAGATGTGCAGTCGTTGATCTGTCTGACCATCCACTGGCCTGCTCTCACTCCCATTTTGGAGGCATAGTTCCTGTCATAGACAGTAGGGTGGTGTCCCTCCTGCATGTGACCCAGTCTACTCGATCTACAAGAGAAGGCGCCCTTGCCCTCTTCATTCAACATTCGCTCCATGAACTCCATAGTGTAGTTCTCGTTCGCATTCTCATTTCTAAAGACAAACTATCCTTCAACCTCAAGAATCATTTATGTTCCAAATAGTTTCAAATGTCAAAATTAACTCAGATGTGAAGCTGCAACTTGCAACCAAAGAGAAAAGCTACACAAAGAAGCTCTCAAGACTGAAAGTTCATTCGCATTATCATTTCTAACAAGGAAAGCAAGCTCCATCATAATGAGCTCGCATAATAAACCTTATTCGACCTAATTACTAGTCTTTTAAGATCAACCGTACAATTTCCCCCATCAATTTAGGGGGGGGGAGAAAAACAGGATTTTTCATGCGCTAACTTTGATTATAGCCTTGATTCCTTCAAAATTAACCGTATTACTAAAAAAATTGAATTAAAACATTTTTTTGTGTAATTAACCCCACTTAGTGACCTATCGTATAACGCCCCACCCAAGCATGTATTAATTGTGAAACATAATTCTTATAAAATATGCATTTCGTGCAAACGCGCAAATAAAATTGGTTTTACGTTTTTTTAGGCTGGATTGTATTTGTATGCTGTTAATTACACAAATTAGTGTTTTAATTCAATTTTCTTTAGGGTCCCCCTTGATATAATTTTACGACATCCGTTTTTGGCTGAACAACCTCAAAATTTGAGTAAAGGTGCCAATATAACTAATTTTGAGGAGGGGGGGGGGGTGGGAGCGCCCGCCGAAAAAAAGGCAAATTTTTTGGCAAAATTTGCTATCACCCCTAGAAAACCGCCCCTCCCCCCTAGAAAAATTTCTGGGCACGCCACTGGATGAACGTATATCGATGGTCGGCAATTCAGTTTTGGGAAGTTTTGGATGACAGCTAGAATGGAATACTTATTGTAATTTTCGCAGAATTTTGACCAACAAAAATAGAGCAAGAGATTTCTCCATTTCAGGGCTTCGTTGGAACAACCTAAATTTTTTGATTTTTGCATGATTTTATCCCGTCATCACGATGACCGTATCTCCAGAAAACTAGGACTTAAGTCTCTAAAAATAAGGCAAAACTAAGGGCTAGTTTTTGCAAACAATTACCTGACTAGCAGTCCTCTCTGAATATCGGAACATCTAATCTTCTCTTTAATATGATACACATCATCCTTCAAGTCCTCAATCGTGAACTTCTCTTCGTGGATGTATGCGTCATCTGCGTCACAGGCCATAGCAGCCATAGTTGCCAGGTAGCCACAGTAGCCTCCGAAGGTCTCGATTATGAACACTCGCTTGCGGGTTCCCTGGGCTGATTGTTTGATTACGTCACAGGCCTGTTGAACATAAACAATAATTTGCTATCAAACAAGCTGTTTCTTGTGTTGTAATTAACACAGAATATCCTAAGTCGATTTTTCTCTCCTCAATTGAAACTGCAATAAGAAACTATTCGAAGCAAAATCGTTTTTTTTTTAAATTTTTTGCTACTTCATTTCGAATTTTTTCTCTCCTTGTTGATTATAACTGACCCTGCAGATGGCATTGAGAGCAGTGTCGCACCCAATTGACAACTCACAGCCAGGCACACTGTTAGATATAGTGGCCGGCACCACTATCATGGGGATGCAGAACTGTCTGAAGTCTTCTCTAGCCTCGGTCAGTAGATTCACAGCCTCAAACGCCTGAAAGTAAAAAACATAACCAGTCAGCAGTTCGAAACGAGCCAATGCACTCAAGTATAACAGAGAAAATGATCGTTTTTGAAGGACATACCGCGTTGCAACTCTATAAATTTCAAGAATATTTTAGGATCAACACTTTTTTCATTAGAAGTACCTTTTCAACCTAAAAAAAACACGTATTTTGCGCCATTTTTGCTTCATTTGTAGGCAAGTGTAATTGATCTTTTTTTCAGCAATGGAATTTGAATTGAACGTAAACAGAAATCAAAAACCAAAAGATCAAACATGGCGCGATAAAACTTCAACACTTTTTCCTAAAAAAAAAAACAAAAAAAACTATAAAAGTGTCTTCAGTAGGTTCATTGACACTTAAAAAGCATAGCCATCAGACAGTTGCAAAAAAGTCAATAAACTCAGGAAAACCAAAGAAAACAATCGATTTTTTTCTAGCAATTTTTCAGCTTTCGAGTTTCAAAAAAACATCAGATTGAAGCCCACTGAAAATGATCTTCTTTGATTTATAATTTTTCTGATAAAAAGCAACCCAATGTGAAAGTACTGAGCCCTTAGACATTTTTTATTCCACTTGAAAATTTAGAAAATCAAACCATTTTTGACGCTACAACTCGTTTTTCACGTCATTTGAACTATTTTTTATTCGAGAGTGTAATGTACCTTCCATTTAGTAAATGAAGCTGATTTGAACTTGAAAACAAATCAATCAGCAAGAAAAACAAGATTGAGCGTGAACAACCTTCAAGAATGTTTCCTAAAAAAAACAGCACGACCTATATGTGCCTTTACTAGGGTGACTGATACTTAACAAAAAACAGAAAAGAGAAGAGACCGCGGAAAATCTTCGTTGGTTTTCTCCCAGCAAATTATAACACTTTTCCCCATAATGCAAAAATCACATGGTATTTGAGCGATAAACTTTTTGTTACTAAAGCTGGTAAATTAAAATAGGAAAGAGTCCCGTTGATATTAATTGAACACCAAAAAACTCTTTAACTCGAAAAATAGATAGCCAAAAGGCAATTTAATTTGTTCTATGAAACTTAAAAATTGTGAAAAATGAACGAAATTGATACACAGAGGCGATGCTTTACTTGCTTTTGTGAAACAACACAAAATTGCAAAGAAATGCAAACCTAACCTTTAAACAGCAAGAAAACGGCAAAAAGTAGCTTCGAAAAGGTTGAAAATGAAACCAGGAAATAAAACGCTCAAATTTTTGCATTATGACAGAATCGAGCTATCGATCTGGAGATTGAGAGACTCACGTCCTCGCATCTGCTCATGATTGCTTGAAAAATGCAAACACTAGCCACTGGCAATAGTAAACACAATATAACAGATGCTATTAAATTGATTGCCAATGCTAGGCAGTAGAAGAGCCACTGCTACGCAGAGGAAGGAGCAATCTAGGCAGCTGGGGTACAACAAAATGGATTCGTTACAAAACACTACGCTAACTGGCTCGCTTGTGTAAAAAGAAAAGACCTTGAAGCACAAAACCATCTGTTAAACACAAATTCCGCAATCGGATGTTCTCTCAAAGTATTTTTTTAAATCAAAAACTCCATCCGATCTCTAACGAAAATAGCTCATACCATTTAAAAAATTCCACAATGAAACTCTTACTAACTCAAAAACTAGTAAAAAGCAGTACACATAAACTCAACACGAAAATGTTTGACGTTCATTGGAAAAAAGTTTCCTTCGCATGAGCCAAATTAGATCAATAGATACTTTGGTAATCACCTAGAATTAGACCCATTACTGATTTTAAAAATTTTGCGTGCGCCATTTTACTTTTGTTTTGGTAACACAAAAAATTTTCCTCCAACTGGCAAACAAATTTCAAGCTATTTTCGATAAAAAAAATCAAAACTCAGACTACTCTAAATTACCAGGGACTTTCTTTTTTTTTTGCAACAAGGCTTAGTAGTTTTTTAGTAGTTAATTAAGTAAGTCATTCCGGAATTGAAGCTCATTTCAGGTTAGCAGGTGAAAAAACAACAAATCTTAATATGAAGAAAGGCTTTGACAGAAGCTTTGATAATCAAAGTCTTGAGCTAAATAATCTTTCTTCCGATCAAGAAAGAAAGATTAAATATTTCTTCTTTCTCCTTTCGATCAAAGCAAAAAGGGCGAAAAAACATTCGCTTGTCCCGGCACGCCTTAATTCGAACCCGGCACGCCGTTTCTTATAGCATCGTCCTTCTTACCTGGAATCCGCCGATGACAACCAGTCCACAGATGTTCAACTCGTCAAACTTGACAGACACTTTTTTCAAGTCATTCGGAAGACGTCTAAAACCCAAATCATCGTAAGAGCCGAAAATTTATAATATTTTCAAAAATTAGAAACCAATTGTAAAAAGACAAGAAGCTGTGTACAACTGACGTGAAAAAGCATCCAGTTACTCATCGAGACAGCATAAAATGATTCGATTAGTAATTCAGATCATAGATTCAATTGCTGCTGAGAAACAGTTTTTGAAGATGTGAAGCGAACACTTCTTATTAGTGCAACTTGATAGTCCAAAAAGAACAAATCCCAAAAAGTTTTCACAGCATCAATTCGATTTAAAATTTTATGGCACATAAGTAGGACAAAATGTGAATTCATCAATTACTCAATTAATTGACCATGTTTCTGAACAGCCCAGTTTTGAAAGATTAAGAACATAGCCAACATACAGTTGGAAAAGTGTTAATGAGCTTAAAGAAACCAAAAAACTACAGACTTTTTCAAACTTTCGAGTTTCATAGAGAAAATGACATCCCTATAAAAGCAGATTACAATTGCTATTTTCGATTACCCGTCGGGAAATCTGAAAATTGAAACCGAATTTTCAAAGTAATAACCAATCTCAATATCCATTCTCTAAATTAGGGATCAAAATTTTAATCGGAGCTCCACTTCGACAATGAAGTCAAAAATAACCTTCAAAAGAAACCAAAACTCAAACTGCCAAAATGGAGAAAAAGGGCGAGAGCAAAAAATTTTAATAACTTACAAAAGGACAATTTATTTCGTTCATTAACACTTGAACAGCGCACACTTACATTTTGGTGTCCCTGTTATAAATTGTCAAACATAAAACAATCAAGAAGTGCAATTATGACAGTTCAGTTTACTCAGTAATGCTTACATGTTAGTAGGATTGGGGGTGTAGCGGTTTAGATGTAGGCAATTGGAAACTTGGATAACTATTTCCCCTTTTTGCAAAAGGGCGATATTCGTTACTATGTACGAAACTCACACACACATATGCTTAACCGTTGCATTCGTTTTATACAGGGGTAGCAATTCGTAACTAGGTCTAGGTAGCATAGGGAGGGGGGGTAGAAAACGATATCCGGAAAGCTTCCCCTATTTTTTTTTGATGCCGCTTTGATTTCAATTTCGGCATTGAGTGCGACGTATTAATAAAACAAAAGAATGCCGCCTTCATTGTTCGGTCAGAGCCATTACGGGTTGTATTTATTAAATCAAACATTTTTTGATATTCGTTTTTTTTCTGCAACAGAGGTTTATGTGTGCTAAAATACGTGCCTGCTAGTACTGATATACTAGTCAAAATCACAAAGAATATAAATTTTTTATTTAAAATTATCTACAAGATGCGCCGTATAACGGAAAAAAAAGTCCGTCGACCAATTCTTACATTAGCGCAAAATGATCCACAATTTTTTTGGTGTTTAAGGTTCACTGTTTTCAGAAGTAATTAATTTTCAAACATGGAATTATATTAAGCGTGCAAAATAAGCTTTTTTGAATTAGTGTGCATTGAAAACTTAAAATGCATATATGAAAATGTAAATTCTAAAGAAATCTTTTCGAGGCAAGTAACAAGAAATAATCGCTGTTAAAGTTAATTATTTAATAACTCAAAATATAACAAAGTCTTGCTGAGTTTCTGCAGACACACGGAGTGCGACAATTTTAAAACTTTGAAAAACGACAATAAAAAGAAAACAAGACTGCTTGTACAAGGGAGAAGCCCCGAAGCTCCAACTGTCGTTTTAGGTGAATGAAAAAGTTTTTCATTGACCAGCAACTAATAAAAACATAGCCAACAGACAGAAGAGTCAAAAAACGTTAAAAAAACAGAAAACCATACTGACTTGTTTTTGAAGAAAAACCCAACTTTTGTTTTTCAAAGGAAAAAAAGATGATCTTAAAGCTTTTTGAATTTCTAGAACAATTTATGATTAACACTTTTTTTGATAAAATTAACCCAATTTGAGACTAGTGTATAAACTGGATCCATGGGTAAACTGTTTTTGGCTGGGAGATCTGATAATCAAAATTCATTTTCGAAATAAGAAGTCGATCACGTTTTTCTCCTTACACTTTCGCTGTTTGATTGTGGAGATTGCCTTCCTTTTGACAAAAGAAAAGAACTGAACTTGAAAATAAATTAAAAGTCAGACTGCGAAAAAGTAAATTTTAAGACTTTTCCTGAAAAAAAAACAAACCTCACGACCTATATAAGAGTTTGAACTACGTTCATCTCGCCAGCTCTAAAGATCAACTTTCGAGCAGTCTTGTTTTAATTTTATCCGCGTCCCTGCCTTCACGCTACATTAAGTACAATGTGAAAGATTTTGAGCCTGGTAACGCATTGAAAAGAGCAAATAGCTGGCCTCAATCCAAATTGGAACGATTCCATTCGCTGCTCACGCTTTAATAGCATGAAAAACATTGAGCTTTAATTATCCCAAAATGGCGAAATTAAAAACCCAATAACTTTACGGAAGGTATCATCTGTAGTTTGAGCTCTAGACATCAGTACCTTTCAGTCGAATACTTAAAAAAATCCTGGCAAAAATGGCTAGTTAAAAAGTCGAAAAATGGTCTGGAGAAAAAAACACCCGGACACAAACATTCCGTCGCTTTCTTCGAAAGTAGGCACAAACATCCTCCATAGTAGAAAAATCAATTCAATAAGCGATACTATATCAAAACAATTGACAATGCTGTCAGATCAGTCGCAACAATTGAGCTTAAATTTTCGCACCCGATAGATCAGAGTAAATTTTGCCACTGAAATCAAAATTTTTTTAGAAACGCACCTGTTGGTTCCCAGAATAGATCCTCCAGTTCCCAGATAGCCAGACACGGAATTCCATGTGGCATACTCAACCTTAAACATAGATATAGATCTTGCTTCCTACCTAATTAGGATAACTGCATCGTTGAGAAAAATCCCCCTCCGAGTCTACACAGCACGTTCAGTGAACTCAATTTTTAATGATTACAATGAAGTTTCATTCCACAAAATCCATCAGATAAAGTATTCACAAATAGCTTTCATTATCTTACAACTATCAATTGACGTTATAAAATGATGAAAAGTAGCCATCATTCCATCTCTGTTTCAATTTGCAAATTTGCAATAAGTTTTCAATAGTCACTGGTTCGCAGTGGTCGCAGCGCCTTCGCGACAAAACTTATTTTGACTAAAATTGTTTTTTTTTTGTGAAATTTTTAAGGGTAAAATTTTTAGTTCAGATTTTCAAACTTTCAAGTTTTATAATATCTCGCACTGTTTGGACAAGGACTGTTTCTCCAATTTAAATTATTTGACGGTTTCGGACCAATCCCCTATTTTTCCGATAAAAAACTTTTTGACAGTTGTGTTTGAGCCTTTTTCTGTGATGACTTCAGTAAGAGAACTGGTTTATTCTTCCTTCTGATCATTTCATCCCGAGAAAATCCAAAAAAAGTGACGAGTAACTTTTCATTACGACTTAAAAAAGTATTCATGAAACATTCTCACATCATCAATCATGAGTCCATCGAATCCCTCAGACACCAGTAAGACTTTGAAGTTATCCTCATAGAAGAGAGTCCTCACAACAGCTCGCACAGCCGCATTCATTCCAGGTGCAGGGTTACCCATGTTCATTATAGCAACTGCCTGGGTTCGTTCCTAAACATGGGGCAGATACAGTTATTAATAGATTTATAACTACAGGAGTTATGTAAATAGGTTATGTGGTGTTCTTAAATATTGAATAATCACAGGGCTATGTTATTCAAGGTGGATAATGGAATCGAAGGTGTTTATAGTTGACATTATTTATCAGATCCATTCACAGAAATCACAATTATGGTCTTTTAATGGTCACTTCGAAAGAGTTTGATGCTCACTTATCCATCATTGATCAATAAGGCCAACTAAATTGAATTGACTAAATTTAATTAGAAAAATGACTGAGGTGTTGCTTAACTAGACTAAAATTCTGAACTTGGATTTACAGCAAACAAACTAGCAGTGAAAATTCGAAATACTTCGTCACATTTTTCGACAAGAAGACAAGCTTCTTTTTATCTTGATAGAAAGATAAGAGCCTTCATTAAAATTTAACTTCTAGAATTTCGCATCAAAAAATGAACGAAGTTTGTTTTTATACAAAGCTATTTGGTTTCAAACATTTCTCATTTGATTGCCAAAAATAATTTCGATACAAGCGTCTATGAATAAAGCTACTTGTGCTGTTTGCCAACTATCAACTGATACAATTGGTGTAATTGATAAAACTAACAGTGAATAAGCGTGCATCCTTACAAAAAAGTATGTTTGAAGCAAATAAGTTTTGAATATTTTATACATTTATGCGAAAATACCGCTAAACCTCACGTTAAACGAGCACCAATATATGAAATCAGCAAAACATAATATGATTACAAACTCCCATATTGTCGCCAAAATCTTTGCAAGAGCTCAAAGATGCTATTGTAAGGACACTTTCAAGATATTTTTTTTGGGTGGGGGGGGGGGGGGCTTTTTTGAGGTTTTCGGTTAATTCAACCCTTATTCTACACATTCAAAATTAGGAAGACGTAATCAACTGAAAACTGAGCTGGAAATATTGGCGAACTGTAAGAAATCGCTTCAATTGCGATGTGCGTCGAATTTGGTTGTTAAAATGGTTAAAAATTCACCAATTTTATTATAATTCTGCATGGCCGAAACGATTATACGAAATACCGCACATTGCAACACAACATTTCTTTTCTGCTCATAATTACTTGAACATTTTTTGAGCAGACAAATTGTCAGTATCAACAAAAACTATTTTCTTAAAATATTGATGACAACATAATCATTGCAATTCACTGTTCTATAATATGATTCTGAAACTTTCGCAAAATTCAACTACGAATCAACTCAATTCATTTTTTTGCCGAATTCAATCACATATAATCTTCAAGACTACTTGATAAAAAACTAACAATTTTTTGTCATCTCAAATGATTTAAATTCGTTCAAACTTGTCAGCGAATTTTTCAGACAACTTAATAAAATTTGGCAGCTCAAATGCTCTAATACTGGGGAACCCCTCATGACAGAAGGCTCAAATGACCGAAAAGTAAGTCAACCTTTCAGAATTCGGAAATTCGAAAGAATTGAACAATGAAAATCAGTCAGTTTTGAGCAGTTTGAAGGATGTTGAGCGGCTGAGTTTTCGGTCATTTTTTGCCATGTGAATAGCCCCACTCTAATACCATTCAAAACAACACATTTAAATAGCACAAAACAAGACATTAAGCTACGTTCAAAAATGATGATGGATACAAACCTGGCCAGGCGCGAACTTGGAAAATAGTTGTTCTTCCGTTGAAAGCTTTAAAAAACCACCGTTATTAATGAAAGACGCCGTGTTTTCATAATAATATGTAGCGAATTCAAAAACTTAACTGCAATGAATTGAATTATATCAACGCTTGCTAATTGCAAACATAATAACTTAAAATATACAAGACTACTCGTATCACGGCGAAGCCCTGAATGTTCCGACTGCTTTTTAAGGTTTATGGAGCAATAATAGCCTATAAAAATTAAATGTAATAAATAAAAAAAAATTTCATAAATAAATTTTTTTTTTGTGAAAATCATACCCCCACACGCCATTTAAAGTACAATAGGACAGATTTCGCTCCTTGTAACAAATCAGTTATGGCAAATAAGCTTCTTTCAACCAATTTGGAACAATTTTCACGACAGATTAATAATTGTGCTCGGGGTGGGGTTTTTTCTTCAAATTTCGACTTTTTATCTGAACCATTTTTGACGGAATATTTTTTAAATATCATTCGAAAAGTATTGTTGTTCTGAGCTTAAATTTGGAAAGATAATTTTTCTGTGATCATTTTTCGTAAAATTATCGGGGTATTAAAATTGCCATTTTGGCCAATTTGGGACAATTAACGCACGATATATTTCGCGCTATTAAAGCGTAAGCGGAGATTTAATCCGTCATAGAACTCGTTCCAAATTGGTTGAAGGAAACTTATTTGCCATAATTGATTTTTTACTAGGAGCAAAGTTTTTCACTTTGTACTTTACATGGCGTGTGGGGGGATGATTTTATTTTATTACATTTAAATTTTTCATGTTATTACTGCTCCATAGACCTTAAAAAGCAGTCGGAACATTCAGGGCGGCGCCTTGATCTGATACGAGCAATCTTGTTGCCAATGAGTTTTAAGGCAGATTTTTATTCGAAATTCATACGAACTTATAACTCAAACAAAACTACTCGTTTATCAAGGAGAAGCCCTGAATGTTCTGACTGCACTTTAAGGCAAATCAAAACTTTTGTGGTTGAACAATTGAAGAAATAATAAATTTTAAAAAAAAAATTCAGGTTTTTTCTTCAATTCATATTGCCCTACGCGTAGCGTATCGTATCCTAATTAAAGACCAAAATACTTGCCTTAATTCAATTTGAAACACCATTAATCCGCCACTTACGCGTGTTGAAACAACACAATATATCGCGCGTTATTTATCACAAATTAGCAACTTTCAAACCCCTGTATTACAAAAAGCGATCACAGGTAATTTTTTTGAATTTGAGCTCAAAACAACAATATCTTTTGAATGGTATAAAAATAGTCAATTTTCGACTTTGTAACCAAGTGTTTTTGACAGATTTTTTACATCATCTTTCGTCAAACTAGTTTATAAGTAAGATATTGACGGAATAAGAAATACCACTACAATTCCTCGTTTTTTTGAAAGTCGGAACAAACAAACTTCAAAAAATTAACACGCCAATAATTCATGGAAAATAAATTGAGATGTTCGATACTTAGAGAGCGACAATTCAAAGCAAGGCAATTCAATTTGGTTTATTAGCTGGGTGAAGTTAAGTGACATTGTTCATACCGAAACCTTTATCCTCCAAGGCAGAGTCATTTGGTTGTGAGGCCAGACTTTATCGTGCAATTTTCTGCGGATTACGCGACAAGGTTGAAAAAAGCTGTCACGGAATCCGCACCAAAACTATTCTTTGAAACTACTTCTCAGTTGCGAAATCCCAAAGACAAATGATTGAACATAGCGCAGCTACAAAAACTGGAATATTTTTGGATCTTTTCTTTCATTGCGGATTCCGCGACCCATTTTATGTGACGTTAACACTTATGTTGCGAAGTATATGCCAGTGAGTTCCACAACAATTTGGTCAAAGGAGTCTGTTGTTAAACTTTAACATGTTTAAAGGTTTGTCTCTGGATTCCACAGATAGACACTCAAATCCGGTACTGTTTGGCCTCGCAATACAATTCATTTCTAGTTAAGAGTAATTTTCGAGAGTACATTGATCCAGTTTTTGCTTTCGATGAATTGTTGTACTTTTCGCCTCACATTTTGTTGTCTCATTGATGAATGTATAATCTATATGCAAAAAATTAGATTTTTGAAACAAGATGTCTGGGTCACTCTCAAACGACGAACCTGAATAAATTTTAGGGAATGAAAAAATTCCGCGTAGTTTTGAACCCATTACAAAGGACAAATTTGTTAGCTGGGATTTGTTCGTTTCTCAGATTTAGTAAGGTGCAAATATTTACCGACTGAGCTCCTGTCTGCTAAATATTTCGATTTGATTTCTTTATACTTAAAATGCGATGCAAAAAAGAATTGAGCTTATCTTTCACATCATTTTACGGAAATTGAAAAAAATCAAATGCCGTTCAATTGATAAAATTTTATTTCAAGTATACGCCTCCATATACGGCGTAAACTATTGGCACCCATCAAATTTAATAGCATCTCGAGCAGAAAGGATATAAAAGGGAAAACAAAGGAGCGTGAAATTAAATTCTTTGTCATTTGATCTTGTGAATGACATTTGAAAAGATTGTATTTTTAAAATTAGCCTACAGTTTCAGGAAAATTGTCTCAATTTGACAACTATTTTCACTATGGTAACGCAAATGCCATTTTTGTATTTTCAGAAAAGCGCTGATCCTTTAGAGAGCAAAAATTCAATTCTTTTTGTAGCCAACTGATTTCTACTGAAAATTTTTCTTCTAATGCGTCACGAAATCGAGTTTTGCAATGTTTTAGCCAACTTGTATTCCATCCGAAAGCAATGAATTTTGGTATTTGATGCCTTTCCGATATAAATTTGTTTAGTATCATTAAATCAAACCATCCAACTTTGCAAAATTAGCCCGTAAAATCTTTGACAATTTTTAGTACTAAAAACTTTTGTTAAAACTGCTTTTTTGAAAAAAGCTGACTACCTGATTAGGAGGTGGCGGCTTTTGACCAAGTGTGCGAAAACTTACAATCAATCAACTCCCTTTTATCAATCAACATCCTTTAAATTACCCAAAAGTAATAGACTTTACCTGATTAATTTTTTGGCTTATTTATTTGCATGACACTAATCAACATTTAATTCTGATTGGCTGACAAAACTTTCGCACATTCTGACCTTCGCTCATTAGGGATTTCCCCACCTGTTGACAAGCTATCTGCTGCCTTAGCTGAGCTCTCACTTCATAAGTGCTCTTCTATTCGTTCAAAAATAGCCTTTGAATGCTGGTCAGCAACATTCAAACATTCGTAGAACGTTCGATGTTTCATGGGGTTTTTCCGTATTCTTAGGAAGAAAATTGAAAATCATTATTTATTTGAAAAATTTTTATGCAGAAAAATTTGCATGTTTACACGATTTCCAGTAAAAGCTACCCTTTTCTTACAAACATTCGGTGCGATTTGATATGCGGGTATTTAGGTAATTTACGCTGATTACACTGGTTATTGAGTTAAATATCCAAGACTCACTATTTAGGCGAAGACTATTTTCTGCATACCATTCTCAAATACCCCGTCTGAGCGTGGTTTTAGCACTTAATGGAAACGTTGTTATTAGTGAGGCCTAAATAGTGAGTCTTGGATACTTAACTCAATAACCAGTGCTATCGGCGTAAATTACTCAATAATACGCAGATCAAATCGCACCGAAGAAGCGCTCGAACATTCGGTTGAACCACATCAATTATTCATATCTTTTTACACAGAGGCTACAGAGGCTAAGCGGAGCTTCGCACCACCTGCGATAAAACACAATCATATAAAACTCAAGTAGAAAAAAAATAGCACACAAAAATATAGGCGGTCTTTCTATGGATATCTTTTTGTAAAATCTATGAAAGTGTTTTTGAGAGAAAAAAAAAGAAGTTTTTGCAAAAAATGATAAAATTTTCCAAAGCGACTTAAAAAACCAATCCTTTACACTTTCATAATACCTGCTTTAGTCAAACAGGAATTCTAGGCAAACATGCCAAGCATGACATCTGAAACTCAATTTAGCAGCTCAATGTTTATAACTCACGATGCGGAAACAAGGCCCACAATCTTGAAGCAGACACCAGTTGAGCAAAAAAAAAAAAACTGATTTTGTCTCCCCTGAAACTGAAAGTCCCCCTGAAACTACCCTGTCGTGCCCAACTAATAGTTAAATTTGAATTTTCATGAAATTGAGCATGTCAGCATAGCAGTATCATAAGTAACAGCAGCATCATTAAGTGATTCAACTGATTTTGTTAAATTAATTGTTAACCCGAAAAAAGTCTACATTCCCATTTGATAACGCTTGCTAATCGCAAGCGTAATTGCTTCCATAATGAACACAATTAGAAAATCCTCCATGACAGAAATTCCGTATGACAGAAAATTATATTAGCCAATCAGAATTAATTGAAAACATAAATCAATTTAAAATCTAAGACAACGTTAGCCAATCAATTGCGAAAAAAAAACGTTAGCATTTAGAGCTCAAGAACATTTATAAAACTTTGATTTGTTCGAAGCGATCTGCCATTGGCACCTTCGTAAGGATCGCCCCCGACTCAAACTTCTATTACCATTTGAACCATTGTTTTAATCAGGAATCATATTAATGTGCTTTAACCTATAACCTGCTAAAATATATATATTTTATTAAAACTAAAATGACTTAAATTATGCCTTACATATGTTCCCAGTCTCAATTTTAAATCTGAAACAAAGTTTTAAAAAAATCGAAAATTACATCAAAAAGAAGAAATTAAATAGACTAACTTTTCGATCGGTAACTGAAGTAGCTCTTTCAGGTATGCTGCGGTTGTTGAGTGTTCTGTAAATTTCTAGATTGTTCTGGAAGCTCTTGCCTCGCAGTGCTATAGCATCCGCATAGCGGAACTCATCCACCGCTTTCGCTACACTTTGCGTCTGAAACAATCAAAAACTTTTATACATTGAATGATATAATTCAAAAATATCGCAAAAAAAAATACCTAAAATTTGGATAAAAACTATCGACCATTGCCAACGCAAGTAAACGAGTCAATGAGCGCAAGGAAACAAAAACACTGATTGTTTTTTTAAATTTCAACTTTCGAACTTCCAAGAAAAAAAGGCCTTGAAGCTATGTGAATTTCTAGAACTATTTATGATTGACACGTTTTTTGATAAAATTAACCAAATTTGAGAAAACTGGATCGAAAGGAAAAACTTGTATTTCGCTGGGAAATCTGATAATTAAATTCCATTAATAACAGTCGATGTAAGTAGTTCACGCTCTTATATAGGTCGCGATTATTTTTCTTCTTTTTTTTTTCAGGAAAAGTCTAAAATGTTGTTCAGACTCAAATTTACTTTTTCTCGGTTTGACTTTTGATTTTTTTCTCATCAATTCATTTCCTTTCTTAAAAGAAAAGTAAACTTCACTATCGAACAACAAAATTGTAAAGGTCATGAAAAACGTGACCGAATTCTAATTTTGAAAATGTATTTCGCTGGGAAATCTGATAATTAAATTCCATTTTCAAAATTAGAATTCGGTCACGTTTTTCATGACCTTTACAATTTTGTTGTTCGATAGTGGAGTTTACTTTCCTTTTAAGAAAGGAAATGAATTGATGAGAAAAAAATCAAAAGTCAAACCGAGAAAAAGTAAATTTGAGTCTGAACAACATTTTAGACTTTTCCTGAAAAAAAAGAAGAAAAATAATCGCGACCTATATAAGAGCGTGAACTACTTACATCGACTGTTATTAAAGTCAAACATAGCCAACAGACATTAGCAAAATAGTCAATGAACGCAAAGAACCAGAAAAAGGTACTGACTTGTTTTTGGAAAAAAAAAACAATTTTCGAATTTCAAATAAAACAATAGATGAGCTTAACGCTCTTTGAATTTCTAGAGCAAGTCATGATTGACGCTGTTGATACAATTAACACAATTTGAGACGTAGACGCGAAGCTGGGCTTCGCATAAATAAGCGAGAAAACGGCAAACAATTCCAAAAATGAACCAAGTTTTCCAGTTTTAAATTATTTGCCTGATTTTATCGAAAGATGTACGTCACGGAAAACTAAACTGGAAAAGTTAGGAGAGCATAAAAAATTCCGCTAAATTGAAACCAGACAAAAATCAAAATGAAATTCTGCAAAAATAATTTGGTCAACTTACAAAATACATCAATTAATCAAAATAAGTTTCAATTATTGTAAAAAGTGTGTGAATGAAAAATAAGAAAAAAAAAACAATAAAAAGAATAAGAATAAAAAGAAAACCGAGTTGAACGAAAAATAAAACAAGAGCAATACCTTCAACACAGCCTCCATAAGTGGCACCCGTTTCTCTCTATTGCCCGAAATAGAAATCACATAAGCTGGTGTGTCCGGAGTAGAGTCGCGCAAGGCTGCTATGGCTTCCGCTCCCATCCGTGTTCCTAAGACAAAACCAATGTTTATTAACTGGTCTGAACAACTGAGTAGTCCCATAATAATTATCTAACAGTTCCAAAAATTAAGCGTTTTTTGACTTAAATGACGTTAAATTTCGACTCGCACAGGTTGGGCTAGGTTTTTCTCAATCATAAATTTCGTTAGCAGCATCATTATATTGCTCTGCGCTGGCTTGAATCATAATTCTGAAACAGTCTACACGCATTTCTTTCCACTTAAAATTAGTGGCATATTTAGCCCCACATTCATTAAATTCGCCCCATATTCGTTTGAAAAATATTAGGAGTGAAGCCAGCATGCGACTTCATCTAAAAACAACTGTTTTTTTTCCGTTAATAATCCCCTGTACCATTCCGTTTCAATTTGAAAAATCAAATCTTCCGAAGAACATTTCAAACTGACTGATTTAAAACAAAATTTCCTGGACGCTGATTGGTTGAAAACAATCGGTCATTCGGTTCTTCAGATTAACTTAACCGAGCAGAACAAAAAATTTGTGGTTTATAAACCAGCCGAAGTATCAACCAGCCGAAAGTACGTAAATGTTACAAAATAGTTATGTAACAATCATGTAACAGTTACAAAAGTTATGCAAGTTCCCTCATATGATGTTATTTTTCGGTTGGTTTATAATTCGGCTGGTTTATTTACTCTCGAAAAATTCTTTGGAAGAGCAGAACTCGCTAAAACAAATGGACCGATCAATCAAGGCTATATATTATACCGAGGATGCGGTCGAATGCAGACGGGCTGCCTCCTCGCTGCACGTGTCCAAGGATTGTGACTCTGGTGTCGTGATTAGTTCGATCTGTGATGACCTGAAACAAAATCAAATACTTGAGACAACACTTCTCAATATTAGCACATATTGCAAACTAACAGTTAGAAATTTAGATGAACGGAACAATCCAGAAACAAAACTTTCTCCAATTTCTAAAAGCTTTCAAGGAAATGAAAGCTTCAAGGTTAAAAAGCCTTGACTTTTTTATGAGAAAAAAAACAAATTAGACAAAATTGGGATCCTTGTCTATTTTTGCAAGCAGAGCAAAACGAGAAAAAAGGTCTCTAAAAATTCTACACAGAGAACAACACAGCAAAAATCAGTGGGCCTGCGAAAGACCTTATAATAGCGGGGATCGAACCCACTTTCAGCTGCGCATTAAGCAAACATTTAAGACATTCAAGTAGACCATCTATACTATACAAAAAGAAAAATATTCACTCGTACTTGAATAGTAATTAAAATCGTCAAAAACAAAGATGCATAAAAAATTGAATGCAAAAGTTTGTGACAGAGAGGCGAAGCGGAGCTTCGCAACACTTGTCATGTTAAAACTATATTGCGCTACAACATAGCGAATGAAAAAACGACAGAAGTCACAATTATTTCTGATAAATTATGTTGGAAAACATTACTTGAAAAGATAACTTGACAAAATATGAAAAATTACAACTACAAAACTTAATATTTGAATCGCATGAGGTTCACAGGCCCTAATAAATGGAATCATTTACCGAGCGGCAACAAAGGAAACAAACTTTGGGTCGAAACATGTTGAGCCGAAAACCAAAACTGTTGTCACAGAAAACTTTTTACGACCCTTCCGAACTAAAAGACATTATCCCAAACGGATATATTTTGATCTCAAAATTACGCAAAACAAGTTGACTTAGTCGATACAACATAAACTGAAACTGTTTGAATATAAAAAAAAAGAAAAAAACTCAAAATCAGACATTTAATTTAAAGTTCCAGTTAAAGTAAAAGCTGTTTAAATTGAAACAAAACCCATGCTTTAAAAAGTAAACCAGTAAAAATCTTATCAAATAAAAAATGGCGTTTAAAAAAACGGAAAAAGAACCGACGGAAACTAGGACAAAAACCACGAACACGAATTTTTTTTTTGAAAAGATAATTACTACCTGAAACGGGTTTGAACTAATTACTATTTAAGTAACTTCTAGAGCAAGATACTACTTAGGTATCTTCCTCTAAAACTGAAGATCCTCTCGAAGTGCAGATCTTGTGGACAAAGTTGTTTACGGAAAAAAAGTCTAGTACCCGGTAGCAATACCCTTGCTTATCGCAAGGGTAATAAAAATTACGTAGGAAAAAAGTGGAGCAGTCTCAAAACACAAGCGTTTCTTGCGCACGAAAAAAAACCTTTTGAAAAAAGATAGCAACATCTTTTGATCGAAACTACAAGCTGCCTCATAGACGAGAACTTGACTACCATGCCAATAAGACCTCACTTATATCAGACTTCCATACATCTTCAGCTTGCAGTTACCACAGCCAGGAATTATTCCCAGCTATAGAGCGGGCAGAACTCGTGCTGTTCAAATAGCATGAAACAACTTTTGAGTCCAAAATTGTGCAATGAAATAGGCTACTTATATTGTAGAAACATAGTATCTGTATTGAACCATATGTTTATGTATTTATAACCCACTGTTTTGAAAAATAAACCGAAATGAAAATAAATTGTACACAAAAGTGAAGCAGAGCTACGCACTGCTTGCATACAACAGCAAATAGCACGGCAGCTAGCTGAAAGAGAATTTAAAAAGTTCGACACTAGCTTTCGTCTTAGTCAAAAAAATTTTGCTCGCTTGTCTCGAAATAAATTCAATTTGAGGAGCATATGTGGAACAAAACAATTACAGGACTCGAACCCACTAACTCTGAGGTCCCATGCATGGGCGTTACCTCTAGGCTAATTGTGCAGAATCAGTCATTAGATTTGAATATACCATGAAACACAGCTTCTTGTGTCTTGTGGAAAATGTCTAGTGCCCGATTACAATACCCTTTCTAGTCGCAGCGGTAAAGAAAACATAGCCAATCGAAGATTGGAAAAGAGTAATGAACGCAAGTAAACATAAAAAAACTTTGACTTTCTTGAAAAAATCTCAGAGAAAAAAATAGATGCCTTAAAGCTTTTGAATTTCTAGAACAATTTATGATTGGCGCTTTTTTGATAACATGAACCCAAGTAAAGAGACCTGGATCAATAGGTAAAGCTTTTATTCCGCTGGAAATCTATAAACTAAATTTCACTTTCGAAATTAGACATAGTTCACGTTTTTTCGGGCCATTTTCACGTTCGTATTTGGAGAGTGCTATTTACGTCACTTTCAGCCAATAAATTTCAATTGACCTGTGCATATATACCTAAGTACATTCATAAATGCATCAATATGTATGAATGCACATCTCTAGTTATTAGAGACTTTTAAGACTTTTCCTGAAAAAAAAAATCAGCAAGTCCTATTTAAGAGTATTCACTACGTTCATTACTCTTAAACACTATTACTGGGGCAATTTTCAATCAATCCCCGCACAGTATCATTGAAATAGAAAACAAACCAAGCTATAATTAGTCGAATACAAGCGTTATTAGACATATGTAAATTAATTACAGAAAAAATTGTGCATCACCTGTAATTAAAGTCAACATGGCCAAAATAGAGACCAAAGAACTGTCAAAAAATAGGCAAATACAGGTTTTGCATTCAAAAAACAACATCATATTAAAAAACTTACAATTCTACGGATTCGAACCCAGACCTCCGCTCTTAGAGTCATGTGCATTAATCGATCAACCATTTTATTACTTTCATGCATATTTTAATCGGAGATAGGGCAGCGAACCTAAGAAGGCGCCTTACACAGCTAATATACGAAGATCATGCTGTTTTAAAACGAAATCAACTTTGCATAAAAACTTACACTGAACTCTGCAATTTGCTCGAAAGAAAAACGGACTGATCTTTCAACACTACGCTTGCAGGCTCATTTGTGTAACCATGGAGTAATTTTTTCCGCTAAAGAGGAGGATTTTTAAAATGCTAATTTTCAGTTGTTTTTTATTAAATATTTGACTAATTTGTTTCAGGAGATCGTTCACTTGGTTGAGAGTATTATTGGGTTCCTGCATTTATAACCTCCAGTGAATAAATAGCAAGTTTGAAATTTAAGTAGAATACTTGAATCTGGTTGGTCCAAAAACGTCACTGTATTAAAATGTACTGTAATTGTTGAAATACGATTACGTCAACATCGAATTTCGCGAGGTGGGGCGATATTAGATATTCGGTAACTATATCAAAATTGTTCCAAATCGACTCATAGCCAGAGGCCGTTCTTATCAATCAAAACATAATTAATTATAACTTTACAAATTACCGGCGGAAAAAACATGTTTTGCTTTGAAACGAGCCGACTTATTTCATAAACGTCAGTTTTATAGCCTCCAAGATATTTTGTAATAAATGAAAGTTTCCCTCCTAGAATTAATTGGATTGAATTCGCCTGAAGCAATGATTCAAAATCTTTTTGTGGGACAAAAATAGCCTTAAATCTATTCTCACAGCCATGATAAGTTCCGCCTCGCTTAAATTGCTTTAGGAGTTACTTTGATCCCTTCTATGTTTCACTTCGTAGGAAGTTTTTTTCGAAACAATTATATGATTTTTAAGCTCTTTGAACTCCACGAAAAATTTAGGACCGGTTCTTTTTTGATAAAATGAACATAACTTGAGAAACCTGGATCAATAGATAAAATTTTTATTCCGCTGGAAAATCTGAAAAGAAACAGGGTTGGGTTTTAAACAAGTTTTTTAAATAAAAAACGTTTAAAACGTTTTAAAACGTATAAAATTCAGATTTTTAACTACTTTGTCAGAATTATACCACACATTCTTGGCTGACAAAAAACATGGAACCAATTTGAAACTTCAATTATGAAAAACTTAAATAGGCAAAACTTAGGCCATGGTAAAACATAAAAGTGATACGAACATATAGCTTGCTTCATATTTTTGCAGTATGACGTAATATAAAACAATAATTAAAAACATGAATAAAAAACACCTGTTTTAAAACATGTTTTAAAACCCCCCTGTTTTAAAACAGCCAACCCTGAAAAGAAATTTCCCTTTTCAAAAGTAAAGCTGACAATTTTTCTGTTCCATAACCATATAAAATACGAAATACTAAAGCATCAAATGCAGTGGGCTCAATTAAATTGTTTAAAAATTATAACAAACTACGGTTAACAAATTCGATTGCGATCTACGCAAAAACATTTTCTTCTTCATAGAATCTATGAACTGATTCCATCGCTTCTGCTGTTTTCAAATTATGAATTGCATAATACTTTTCACGAGTTGATTTCTTCATCAAAATTGGGTCAGGGATATAAACAGCAACTTTATCTTCGATCGGGAAGCGGAAAGTTCTTGTTCTCTGGGTAATCGTAAGGCAAGATCCTAAATATCTTTTCCATTAACACTCAAGATGTGAATGGAAACTTAATGTTTGGTTACGTAATTTTGCTAAGAAATTTCTTGAATTTAAATTAACAGGTTCGCCAAAATAAAAACAATAAAACGCGAAGCAAAATTCCTCGCATCAGTGCGCAGGTTAAGGCAAGACCCAAGATCGCTATTATAGTCCTCAGTTCACATTGGAACTTTAAAATGGGTTAAAGGATTATTTGTAGTTATTATAGATATAATTAGTTATTTTTATTATAGTTGTTATAGTTGATCGAATGGAAAAGATCCTTCCCTATGAAAACATCGTCGAATTTCATCCAACAATATTTGTTTTTGTTTTCTTCAAAATCTTCTTCTGACAATGTTCCACAATGGTGTGGACAGTCTATGGCCAAATCATGGACAACACTCATAGAAAATACGTTCAATGGTCCATAGCAGAAGAACGGATAATGACTTCCTGCAAGGTGGTGGTAAGGAACGTAATGTTTAGACCGATTCTGAGATCAACCGTAAAAGAACCGATTTTGTAACTGCTTTAATACACAATTTTTAGATTGCATAAATAACCTAGCCTACAAACCAATGCAATGCTGTCACTGATAGCTTATAAAATTATAAAACCAACAAAGATAAAATTACATGTAATCAGATTGGGTTCAATTTCACATTTTGTCATTTCAAAAAAATCAGCAGAACAAAGCCTATGTATGGTCGATCGGGACTTTATGGAAAAGTTTTGAATAATATTTAAGGATAGCCAACAGACATTTGGAAAAGAGTCAATGAACCAGTTTTTCTGATCAAGTTATTCAAGCTATGAACTAAATATTTCAAGTTATTTCATAGCGCGAATTGTTTTCAAAAATTTTGAAAATTTATCTTAGTAAGCTATTCAAGAGTAATGAACGCAAGTAAACATTACAAAACACCGACTTTCCTGAAAAAATCGCAACTTTCGAAAATCAAAAAAAATATAGATGCCCTTAAAGCTCTTTGAATTACTTGAACAATTTATGATTTGCACTTTTATAATAAAATTGACCCAATTCGAGAAAAATGGATCAAAAGGTAAAATATAGGTTTATTTATTTATATTTGTTTGTTTGTATATTTATTAGTTGTTCAACTGGGAAACTAGAAAATTAAAATCCACTTTCGAAATAAGAAGTAAATACGTTTTTTGCGATCTGTACACTTTCACTGTTCGATAGTGTAGTTTGCCTTCCTTTTAATCAAGGAATTGAAGTGAACTTAAAAAGAAATCGAAAATCAAAATTGAGCGTGGAAAAAAAACGAAAAAAAAACCACCAAGACCTATAAAAAAGTACTTACTACGTTCATTACTATCAAGCCACTAAGTTAAAGGTCAAGCATATAAAAATAATGTAACTTTTAACGAATTCCCTCCTTTCGCAATGGGACAAAGAGATAATTCAAGTTTCCTAGGATAATTTCTGATGTTTGGTTTTAATCAATTCTCAGTCAGTTACGGTTGATGAATGACCTTTCGGAGAATGGGGTGATCATCGCTACATTCCGACCCGGTGTATATTCTTGCATTGTTTTCGTCGTTTTTCAATTCTCGTTTCAAATTGGTCGTGTTAGGACTGATAACTAGGTCGTTATACTTGTTCTGGTAATGATTTAGTACAAAGTCCAGCTTAACTAACCTTAATAATAGGCACTGTTCTTTCTTACTTTTCATTCACTCATCAATACATCGTATGTTGTCGTAAGTTTCCAAAAAACGGTCAAACAAATCAAATGTCATTTTTTCCGAGAATCGTAGGTTTTTGTGTAAAAACATTTGGGCGTAGCTACTTATGCAGAATAGATTCACACAAATTTTTATTACGATTGAACCCATAAACTCATAATTAGGAGGGTAGCTTTCAAGAAAGGTCAAATTGTTTCGAAAAACTGTAAAAAAAAGAAATTTACTTTTCCGAGGGCCATTACGTTGTGAGTGGAAAAATTGCGCCTAGCCGCTTATGAATGCAAGCTTTCCACAACCCGTTTTTTTTTATTTTGATTGAACCCAAAATCTAAGATTTGAGAGGATAAATTTCGAGAAAAAAATTCAAGAACGGTCAAAAAACCATTAATTTGACTTTTCCGAGGGAGCTAACTTTTTCTGTTAAAAAAATTGAGAACGACCGCTACGGACAAAGAGCTTCCTATAAGTCAAAAAATCAAATATTTGACTATTCCGACGGCAAAAACCTTTTGTGTTAAAACATTTGGAGCAGCCGTTTGCACAGATGAGCTTCCCACAAACCGATCTATCCATTGAACCCAGAATCTCTGATTTGGGAGGTAGGTTTTGAGGAAACGAAAAAACAATGGATAAAATATTCTGCGTCACAGATTTTTTCGAAGTCTGTAAACAGTGGGGTAAAGTAAAAAGAGATTAGGGATTTTGCAGGCACTAAAAAGAAGTAAGTGTTATTTCCCCCCTGAACTAAAATAAACAAAACTTGCAGCTACCATTATACTTGCTTACAGCACAAAAAAAACTGTGACGTGACATCTAAGCCGACAGTATTTGAGCAGACGAACGACTTCTTTCAGCAGACAATTCAATTTAAACCGAAAAAAATTCAATTTCAAATACTGAAAACACAAAGTCCTACTCCAGGCCAAAGGGGAGGGAAGTTGATAAGGTTCAATATCAAAGCAAGTTCAATTTCTTGTAAGAAAACTTGTTTAGGTGAAAAAAGTTTAATTCCCGATTAAAAGACACTTGCTCTCGCAAGTGTATAAATGTCAAAAAATCACAATTACAAAAAGTTCATAATTTTGTCTCAAATAAATTTCAAATTGAGAAAAAAACGTCCAGATAACGATAGGCGGCGTTAAATGAGTATTCAGAAAATTATCACGCGGCGGCTACGCCGACAAAGCTTTGGTACACTAAGAACTAAGTGCGTTTCCGGAGAGGGGCATAAACAATATAATTCCCTTCAAGCGATGCAAAATTAGGGCATCAAGCCAAAAAAAAATAAAAAGAGCCATTAAGGACAAAAACAGGTTGCATAGGACAGCTGGATAAGAGTCAATGGACGCATGGAAGAGGAAACTAGAAAAAAACGGCTAGAGAACGGATACCCTTAAAACTCTTTGAAATTGTAGAAAAGATTATGATTGGCACTTTTTGGACACAGGTGACCAAATTTGAGAAAACTGGATTACTAAGCACAAGGAGCACTTGCAACCAGCACGAAAATTGCTAACAGCGCAAGAAATTCCATGATGTGGCAACTATACCGATAAAACATAACCTGACAAGGCCAACAGCTTTTAGAAGCACAATACATCCCATTTGAAAAAAAAACAGCCCCTTGCTAGACTCGAGCCTAGAACATCGGCCACCCCAGACGTAGTCGTTACACCTAGACCAAATATGCTATAGCAGCTAAAAACTTGAAATTGTTATAACCTACCAAATTAATCAACTGATGTTTTTAAACAGTTTGTTAACCTGAAAAAAATCTAACCGCAAGCGTAAACAGATAAGTACACCCATGGACCACAAAAAAACTCCGGAAAAAAATAGTATCGAAAAAAATTTACTCAATCATTAATTATGTCGCCAAAAAATAACTTGAGGAAAAACATGATCAAAACCGCGATCAAAGAGCAAGAAAGAAATGCCTCAAGTAAGTATCATCGTCAACTTTCACATGATAATCAGCATGTGAACAAAAACAGGAAACAAACTTCAGTCCAATCAAATACTGCAATGATGTTTGATGATAATACCCTTCCTCTACATTCGCAACTACAATATCACCAAATTCATAATTTTCTTCTGTAATTTTTAGCTGGTCGGCTTCAGAATTCGGTTTTCCGACCAGGAAAAGCTTCGTCCAGTTCCCAATTAGACTATCTTTCGGGTACTTCGAAAAATCCGCATAAGTACTCCGAATCACATTTCTTAATTCCGAGCTGTTGCACCGACTATGTATAACGAGAACTCGTAAATTAGTATGTTTTGAATTGCAAAATGAAGCATTTGAAAGATTTGAAAAGATAATATTTTCTCCTTTGGGCATGTAACGTATAGGCGCATGTGAATGGGTTGTATGCCTAGGGTTCCAATTGGCTTCAAGACATTTTGAAAATTTCGATAGCTTTAGTTTTAAGTTGTTTTCAGATTCAGTTGCAAATCTAGCAAATGAACGTTCAACACAGCTTTCAGTTCCAACAATTGAAAAGTATTGCAAACTGTCACTCGATAAAAAGTAAGCAATACACAGTAAAGTTAAAACCAAGAAATATAAAAAACGATTGGAATTGTTAAACTTCAAAATCAAGACTAAAGAATTCGATTTGTAATCTGACTTGCTGTTAGGCTCAGCAAGCATCTTTGACCAGGACTTTTGATAAATCTAAATGGAGGTGCTTTTAATTTGTTCTCGCGCTTTAACTATTGAATAAAAAGCTACCACAATCTGCAATAGATGAAATTAGTTAAAAAGAGCAAACAATTGATTTGGGCGTATTTCCGCAGGTCAAAAAAAATTCAAATATGCTAGCCTATTGCATAGAGAGATGCAAAAAGTTCGGACAGACAGAATTTAATAAAAAGAGCAATCTTTCCATTTTGACAAATATTGGAAAATAAAAAAAACTAAAACACACCCGAATACAACGCTCCTTCACATTTTTCGAATGGTCGGAACAAAAAAAAGACCGGTCAGAAACTTTTTCTTGCAAATTCTTTCCATTTTGACAAATATTGCATGTAAATTAGTTTTCTCCGACTACCTTGAGACACAAATTCGGCCTGATAATTTAGGTTTTGCATGCTAAGTTTTTCCAAAATAGGTCAAATCCTCTTTTTATTTAATTATAACTTTTTTGCTGCTAATTATAGAGAGCTGCAAAGAATTCAAACAGGCAAATGAAATTACAACAAGGATAGCCGGTTACTGTGCAAGGAGCAAACACAAATTTCTTCCCTTTAAATTAGTGTCGTTTTTACTGCGTGGTGAGATAAAAAATAATGAGCAAAAAACTTCAACTTAGGCATATTCGACAGTCACGGTAAAACAGTTTTGCGTGGAAAATAAAAAAACTAAAGCGCACCCGAATACAAAGCTCCTCCACGTTATTCAAATGGTCGGAACAAAAAAAAAGACCGGTCAGAAAACTTTTCTTGCAAAATCTCACTTTAAGACAAAAAGTATGTCTCAAAGTAGTCTAAAAATTGCTTAAAATAGGCAGATTGCTCTTTTAAATTAATTTGCCTGTTTCTTCTTATTATGTAGTTCATGCATAATAGTTGATACGGTTAATTAGATTTTTGACTCGGTCTCCTTCCGAAAGGGATATTGCCAACAATATGACACTAACTATGAAAAAAGTGGACAGTGGTTATTTTTAACAGCCTTTGTTTCCTTTTAGAATTGCGGTGATTGTTGTTATTTTTTATTAACACTGCATATTCCGATTTGTAACGCATGTTAAGTATGTAACAGTTGTTCACTTAAGTCACAGCGATGAAGTTGGAAAGCTCTACTTTGAAATGACCGGCAAAAAACGTTGAACAAAAACATCGAATAATACATGATTTGAAAAAAAAGAATTAATTTATCAAAGTTACAGAGTATATTTTCAAACATTTTTCCAATTAGAATAACTGCTTTGAAAAGCTAAATAACGAGATCAGCTGATCTATTTCAAATCTACCCTGTCTATTTAAACACAAGCAAACGAGTATATATATCAAAAGAGAAAGGAAAAAGGAAAATTATTTATTTAAATTAAATTTCAACAACTTGTTCGGAATAAATTGTACCTAATTACAAATGTTCGTTCAGTCCATGGCGCAGCGGTAAAGCGCCGGGCTTTGTCGCCGCAACCATAGGTTCAATCCCTTCTGGGAACCTTTTTTTTTCTTTTTCCTTTACACGAAAAGTAAAAACAAGGTTCCCAGAAGGGATTGAACCTATGGATCAGGCGACAAATCGCGGCGCTTTACCGCTGCGCCATGGACTGTAAAAACACTTTGTAATTAGGTTAAAAAAATTCCGAACAAGTTGTTGAAAAATAATTTAAATTAATAAATTTCCTTTAACCCTTTTTCTTTCTTTTTTTACCTTCTCCTATTCTGATCATTTACCTTCCGTTACTCATTCCCAGTTATTATCCCTCTGTTAGATTTAACGCAGTAAATTCTTGAGCCCTTATTACCATTTTTATTTTTCCCGGAACCCATGATCCTTGGTGTCCCAGTCGCATATTTTACCTCTACGCCACGGGTGCTTATGTGAATATATATTTAATTAATTCTGAATTATTTAAAAAGTAAGAATTTTTCAATTCATGTGTTATATAATGTAGTTTACTAAAAGATAAACATTCCGAATCTGGCGATAAAAACCCAGTTGCTTTGAGGGTATTATACAGCCTTATAGATCTTGAACGTAAGGAACATTTTTCCAGCTTTGTCTTTGAAGTGAGTTGGAATAGCAGCTCTTTAATTGATCTCCGAGTACAGACAGATTTGTTTTCAACAACGAAAAGATCATTAAGTTAACTTTCTGAATGAAATTCATTTATCGACTTCAGCTTAAATTTTAGTAGTTCGTAAATATGAAGCTCATAGACTGACAAAGTTTAGTGTTTTGCAAAAAGATCGTTTGCGTTGTCGCCGCGCTTCCGGAAGTAAATAAACTTGATAATTTTTTAGTTAAAGGAGAATAGGTTTTGGAGACGAGTAGCTACAACAGCCCTATACATGAATCAATGGTTTAATATTGGAATTAAAAAAAAAACTGATGAGCTGATCTCTGCGAACAAAATGGCGATGTTTACAAACGATTATTCCACTTTGAGTTGCTAGTTTTTTCGAAACATGTTGAATTTGAGTGTAAAATGATTATTTGGAGTTTATTTTAGTCCCTAAATACTTGCAAAAAGATGCAATTTTACCGTCTTCTAGATTGATAGAAAATGATTGGTTTGAATTGGAAGCACTTAACCCTACTTTCAATTGCATTGTCCGGGCAAGTTTGTTAGCATTTAACCAAACACTTTTATTCAAATCATTTTGAAGTTCAAAAGCAGTGCATCCTAGCGCACTTAAATTTGTATCGTCTGCGAAGAGAAGCACCTCACTGTTTTACCTGTACTAGGAAGATCGTTTATATAGATAAGGAACAGATGACCTAAAATTGAGCCCTGTGGCACACCGCAAACATTGCGTTTCTAGGTAGATCTTGTTCCAGACATTTCTACACGCTGTTGACGATTAGTTAGATAACTGCTTAACCAATCTGATGCTTTGCGTCTTATTCCGTAAACGTTCAACTTTTTGATTAGCATGTTATGATCAATAGTATCAAATGCTTTTTTTGAGATCCAAGAAAAAATTGAACTTGTAGCCTTTTTTCATACTTAACCTTTCAGTTACCTCCACTAAGGCATCAATAGTACTACGCTTAATTCTGAATCTAAATTGTTGATTATAAAACAAGTTGAATATCTCGAACTATGCATTTACTCTATTGTACATAACTTGTTCATAAACCTTACTCAAAGCATTCAGTATTGCAATTGGACGATAGTTGTTTACATTGTTCTTTGATCCACCTCTGTGTAATGGCAAAACCTTAGCTTTTGCTAATTCATTCGAAAAGTTGCCTTCTTGAAAGAATTGTTTGACTACTTTCGAGAGAATTGGCAAAATGACCGAGGCTGCTATTTTGATTATTTGGTTGTTTATATTGTCACCACCTGAAGAAGTTTTCGCGGGTAAGTGAGCACTGCCAGGAAAAAATTCATTAGCAGTTGATCTCTGCAAGAAAAAAGAAAACTGTTTCAGAAGGATATATGGGACTTTGATAAAAACATATTTTTTTTGCATAGTTAAACCCATGCTTACAAAGAAATTATTGAATTGTTCCACCACAGTCGCAGGTGAAGGATGCTCTGTGAGAATGCAACACGAGGAAAAACTGGGTATTGATAATGCCCTCGATGGTGGTCCTTTTAGTCAATTGAGCGGTTTGAAATTTTGTCTGGAGTCTCCGATACATTTATTGTAATTGTTGAAATAAACGTCGTTTTTGCAGTTTTTTTCTTTTTCTAACTGTTGCCGCGCTCGCTTAAATTGGTTTTATTTGTCCGTATCGTTTTTATCAATCACCCAATTTGTGTGAAATTTAATTCTCTTGGTTCTTGAGTTTTTTTATTCGATTTGTAAACCATGCAGATAATCTTTTCTTCTTTAAGTTTTCGCTGTATAATAGCTACATATTCATTGAGTTTGTTTTGAAAAAAGCAGGTGAAATTTGTCAAAACTTTCTTAGTACTCGATATCTATAAACCTTTTAAACGATGGTTGAGCAATAAAAGAACTTGTCAACTAGATTGGAGAATTTTGAACTGAAAATTTCAAGGCCATCTTCCAATTTTTTTTTTATTGGAAAACTTAGACTAATAGGATACTGATCAGTAAACTCTTGCTGTTCAAGGACAATTACATTTGCATTATCTATATCTCTCATTAAAAAATGATCGAGACAAGTTTTGAATTCTGATGACACTCGGGTTGCCTCTTTGACAATATAATCAAAACCATATGAGTTAAAGGTGTTCGTGTAATAAGCACTTATCAAATTGGTTTTTAATGTATCTATACTGAAACTTCCGCATACAACCTGCGGTTTTTGAGATGATGTGCACTTGAGAAAGGTATTTAAATTTTCAATAAACTCATGTTTTTTTATTCTTGAATATTATTATATTACCGTTATGGCAAATTGGAAACGAAGGTGTGAGGTTTTCACCGATGAAGCCTCTTCAATAGCAATCGGCAATTCTTCAACAATGTTGATCCCCTTCAGGGCTTGAATTATTACAACTCCACCTCGCAATTCACGAGACCTCACACTGTATTGATCATAACCTTTTATAAGAAAAACCTTGGAATCATCGTGAGTATTTAACCATGTATCAGTTATAGATAATACTGACGGCGGAGATTCAAGACTACATATAAGTGCTTCCAAGTCTTCAACATATTTTTAAGTGACTTAGCATTAATAAGTAGCACAGAAATCACAGCAGATGAACTTTTAATCGGATCCATTTCCAATTGAAAAGGAGTTTCTTTATGAAGGGACGAATTTCTAGCAACTCTAACAGCAGGTTGAATGGCACTAACAATGGCTGGTACAAGAGCATTTATTATGTCATTAGCTAGATTACTATGATTTGTTTCTTCAGGTGGTGAGAGCATGATTTTTCTTTTAGGTCTCAGAACGCTGCTTGCTGATTCGGGTTTTCTTTGCAGCGGTGGAGGTAACATAGGGGTAACACTGTAAACTATCAAACATTGGCCGACTTCGATAATTAACATTAGTGTCTGCTTCAGTTAATGACTCTCCCGGATATTTATCTGCTACGCTAGTCTGGGGGAGATTTAAGCTCATTGCTGAACTTCACTTGAACGGGGTCTTGTGAGAAGCTATTGGCATTACAGGCGTATATATTTTGTGTGTGTAAACTGGTAATCCTAATTGTCTAGCTTCTTGTTTTAATTTTCAGTCTCTAGAGTCTAGGCATTCCTCGATCATGACAGGAAGATTTCTTAAATTTCGAACGTTTTTCAGCCACCCTTTCCTTCTCCAGACTATATCTCTATCCGCATAAAAAATGAATTTAACGATCACTGGTGATCGTGAGTTATAATTCAAAGGCTGACAGGCGGCTACATTGTTGACGCTAATATTGACTTTCAGATAGTGACGCACGAAACTGAGTATGCCTGATGTCAGGTTTTCACCATAGTCAAGGTTCACAAAAAGTAAGCAGAGCTTCTCGAATATTTCTCTACTTCTACAACCCGTTCTGATATTTCGTGTATATCGTTGGCGTTTTCAACAACTTTCTCTCTTATTTAACATTGTTCGTTTTCTAGAATTACTATTCTCCGTTGTTGAAGTTTGATTACTTCAATGAATTTTTGGAAAAAACTCTGTGCCTCTCCTACGATTCCGGTTTTGATTGATTCTTTGATATGATTGATTTGTGATATAATATCATTTACATCTTACATCTATAAATTTATTTAATAAGTCTATCACAACAATTAGGCTAAATCTTGCGATAAAGTTTATCACAGCAATTAGGCCAATTTTAACAGCAAACCATATTAAGATTAAATTGCCCCAATCACACAGCAGCGTGCGTACTGTCTGCACCACAAAATAAAGCAGTAATATCTTCTATTGTTTCAAACGCTCAACTAAACTTAAGAAAATACGAATTTGATTTAAGAAAAAAATCGTTGTAAAATCATCTAAGGGCCCAATGTGATGATATGTCCGATAAATTTAGTTGGCTTAGAGCCTGTATGATTTTTCACTAATTTCTGGTAATATTTCAAGATATCCTTTGCTGGTCCTTCAACAAAAAAGTTTCTTTTTTGAAGTAAAGACCTACCGAAAAGGACCAAAAGCAATATTCTCCTAAAAGGCTCGTCTTGGACCTGTAGGCAGAGCTCAGGAAACATATTTGGTCGACTTTAAAAAAGTTAACCGAATTACCAAAAAATTATTGGAAGTTACATTCGAAGCAACCATAGATCCTTTTCCGGCCAGAATATAGGCATTTGATGACTACAGAGTTTAAAATTGTCACCATTGAAAAGCAATAGCACAAACCTGGAATAAAAATCGAAAAGTGTGATACCTCATTACCGCTTTTACTTTTTGATTTCGCCGAATTTTGCTAAACCGGTATTATCTTGACGGCCATTTTTGTCACACTCAAAAGGGCTTACTTAACCAAAGTGAAATTTGTTTCCTCCTTCAGTTTTAAGTCTTGAATTTACTCAAGAACGATTTTAACTCTGTATAACTTGGAATGAAATGTTTCGTGAAATTGTATGACACCTTATAACTTCATGTTCAAGCAAAGATGAACCTTTTTCACGTCCTGTTTCAAATTAGGCTTGCTGGTCTTCCTCCTCGGGACAAAGTACAAGCGAATGTGGCAAAAACTCCATTCTAAGTTAAGGATACTGGCCTTCACAAGTGATCAAATTTCATAAAAAATAGAAATTTTCCGTCACAACTAAACCTTGGCGCAGTGGTAGTGATGTTTGTCTACCAATCAAAATTTTGTCGGTTTAAAATCACTCAAGCGTTGCCTTTTGTAAGGTGAGCTCTTGCATGTAAAACATAGCTCAGTTAAGTTTTAACTTTACCAACTATACCTCTGATTGCTTAGCAGATAAAAGCAGGGGTCTTTTTACTGATTCCATCTAATACAATTTATTAGAGCATCAATAACTAATTGAACGAACTTTTCTCATTTTTTGCAACGAATTTAATTTCAGCCAATTAGCATCGAGCACTGTCATTTCTAGTTTCCATATTTCAAAATTTACGAACTTTGGTGGATTAAGTAAAAAGACCAAAAAGCAGTCTCGCAAAATGAAGTACCTTTTTCACATCATTAACTGAAATTGGTTTTCCGTGTCTATCTGTGGCTCCTTCGGCCACGACCACAATACACAGTCTCTGTCCCATATGCTTCGCCTGGTTCAATTTTTCACACATCGCCTCCTCCCACCCATCTTCAGGGGGGTCCTCTGGAATAAAAATCCAGTCCGCAGCTGTGGCTATTCCGGCAACAAGGGCTAAGTAGCCACAGTGACGGCCCATTACTTCCAGCACGAAGGTACGCTGATGGCTGAAAAGAAAAAGTGATCAGATTTTTCAACCGATTTCTTTTGATTAACAATTATGATATACGGAAGTTGAAAAAAATTTCTTTCACAGATAAACTTTCTAATTTTGTTACCACAATTAGGGGCGGATTTGGGATGGGGGGGAGGGGGGGGGGGGGGGGGGGGGGCGGACGCCTCTTCCCTCAAGAATTCGACCCCCTGCCGACCCAAAGGGTTCCCCTTTTGTACTATTTTGAAATTTCTATATTTGAAGACGGACCCTGAAAACTTTCTAAAGGCGCCTTGGGCGCCAATGTATACTAATTTTCAGTGGATCGCGCGCCGAAAAAACGAAATTTTTTGGTCAAAATTTTCCAAAAAGTGCCTAAAAACGCCTTTTTTGGCCTGTTTTTTCAAAACATCGCCTGCGGCGCAGAAAATTTGAGGGAATTTATAGTGCTTTGGGAGAGCTCGAACATCAATTTGATCGACCTAAAAAAAAGTCAAAATTCTCGAAAATTTTTTGAAAATCCGCCCCCCCCCCCCTCGAGAAAATCCTAGATCCGCCCCTGACCACAATGGTACAAATTTACGCTACTTGGCTAAAAATCATAGACAATATTCTACAGTTTTCATTTCAAAATTTCATTACAATTTAAATTAACTCGGGTAAATTTCATTACAATTTAAATTAACTCTGGTAAATTTCATTACAATTTAGAAAATTCTTCCAGCACGAAATAATCATTTTCTTGACAATTCATGAAGCTAAGATGAAATGATTCGCTCGCTCAAACTGTTTTCACAGTGTTGAAAACCTAAACCCTCAGCCGAAGAGCATAAGCTGTACCGCAATAGTTAGGCTACGCTGGTGTTAAAACCTGACAAGTTCCTAATTACAGTCATTTTCATAATTCATAATAACAGTCATTTAGATTATTTTAAACTGACTTAAGTAAACCTTTCAATTTCAAATTGTATGCTACTAGTTTTGAGCACTCAAGAAAAGTACAACATAATTCAATTTACGACCGACAAGCATTTTAACATTTTTGGCGCCACTGTCTCAAGTTTCGGTTGATTTCAGTTTTGGTGAAGACAGCTTATGTGAATGAATTCTATCAGCGTTGGACGTACTCAGTTTTATACGGCGGGAAACTAAAACCAGCATCTTTTAGGTAAACTTCAAACTGGTATTCAACTTCACAGGTGGTACTTTTAGGAGCACCTGCGAAAACTAAGATTGAGACTTGGCACGAAAATGAACACGAAATATCTTAAACTATAGCAAAAACTAAGACATTTTTAGCTAAGCTATCAGCTTTACATGTCCTTACTGACCACTCAGTTAACTAGACTATCATTAAAAATAATAATACTAAAACTGAAGGTTAAAAATACATTTTCTTTTTAAAGTATCAAATTTTAAAAAAAAATTTTGACGTGGAAACTCTTTGCTTTTGCCTAAAAACGTTCCGAAATACAGCAAATCAAAATCAGCAAGCCATAGAAAAGCAAAAAGTTTACAAGATGGCCAATTTCTGAGGCAATGTTGTACTTTGCAAACAAACAGAAACGCGGAAAAATAGGCTTTGAGATAAATACATCCAAGAAAACAGAATCGACCTGAACAATCTTGATTGAGGGCCGTTCCACTTAACATATTTCTGACGTTCAAAAATTTGAATATTTCATGGAACTAAAACCACAAGTGTCCGAGGAGTACAAACGAATATGATAGTGTCCGAGGAGTACAAACGGTTATGATAAATTTTACAAATTAAATCAGCGTTCTCAGACAAAATGAATGGAAAAGCAGTAAGACCGGTTGTGATAATCCGTCAATAAGGAAATCGTTTGACAAATATCAATTGATAGAAACCAATAGTAAATTTCCTCAACTTCAAATTCAGCAAAGTAGACGAAATTCTGCTTGAACCTAACTCTTCCAACTATTAAGCTCAGAACCTTTCATCAGCAGGGCAGATGTTTCTCCTTTAGATTTGATACCAGATATGGAATACTGAAACTTCCTCTTGCTTTGAGGAAAAACAAAACAGCGCTAGAGTCCTTCTAAAATAGCAGCTTGGACCTTACATAAGGCTGGCAATGAAATAGCATCACTGAAATAGAATCATTAACCCAATTAAACAATGAATACCTCGCTCTCAACACGTTTCCGGATAGACTTACATTAGCTAACCCAAAACCCTTGTTCAACAAAGGTGATACTAGAGATGCAAGAAACTACAGACGAATATCTATTACTCCTGCAATAGCACAACGTTTTAGGAAACAATCTCCGACAACAAATGTTCGAGTAATTAAATAAACATCTCCAGAAAAAAATTTCTATTTGGATTTCGGAAACAGTTCTCGAGTATTAGAGAAAATCAGGACACAAACCAGGGCTACGTCTCCGATTCGTTCTGTGACCTAAAGATGAGTCTCACGTACTAATAACTCAGTCACGTACTCTCTTAAAAAGTCAGAAACAAAAGCGATAAATAAAGCAGAGAACAGATGCTATGAAATTTTCAATGCTACAGATCGTGATCATAGCAAAAAAAGCTACCGAATAAGTTAGTACTCATTATGAACACTTTTATTTGGGGAGTTACGTTCGAAAAAAAATAAGTTTTGTACTTATACACCACGTTCGTAAGCTCCATAGCGTAATAATGATTTCCATTTAATGGAGCATATTTTCACAAATCTAAATGATTCGGTATCAAAAAAAGAATTAAACATTTTTTTCTGAACCAATTTAAGAAGGAGCCAAGCCAAGTGTCGTACGGAAAACTAACATGGAATTCATTTAAGTTTTCTTGAAAATATTGTCCCAGTCCAATTTTTATTAATGTTCAAATTCTACGCTGCCTGTAAACTTTGAATAAAATTAGTTATTACTTATCAAATTACAGGACATTCAGTATCCATTTTTACAATTGCGGCTGACTTCTTCCACTACCATTAGAAAAGAGCGCATCCTTTATCGCGCTTCTATTCAGCGGTAGCTACTACAATTTCAAACCGCAAAATAAGAACTAACATGTACACAGAGCAAAAAATAAAAAGAGAAAAGCTACATTTCGCGAAAACTTGCGATAGACGGGGAGAATGCTTTAAAATTATTTCAACTTCAAAACTATTTAAGCTTAGTAGAGACTCAATTCAAAATTGGATGATTATTGAACTTTGATTAACTCGCCGCCGTCAAAAAATGCTGAGCATCATAAATACACGCATTAAAACGATTGCTTGATGTATTAAATTTTTAAGGCCCCCTGCCATAGGAATACACATGCCAGAATCCTACTTTACCTTTTAAACGTTCAAGTTCAAAACACGATGTCAATAAAACAGAACGGAATTTTACACCAAAAAATGAACAAAACCAACACACAGTTTGAAAAGCGCCAATACTACTAAAGGTAACAAAAGAAAAAATTTAGTTTTAGAAACAATTTTCGACTTTCTAATTGAAGATACAAAACTTGTCACATTAAAGCTTTTTGAATTTCAAAATCTTTGATGATTGACCATTTTTTCATTAAATTATTCCGATGAGAGAACTCTGGTCATTTGTAGCCTTTTGTTCGGCTGGGAAATCTGAACATAGCAACAGACAGTTGGAAAAGAGTCAATGAACGCAAGTAAACAGAAAACATATGCACAACAGGCAGTTCGAAAAGAGTCTATGAACGCAAGTAAACAACGAAATACTGGCTTGTTTTTGAAAAAAACTTCAATTTTCGAGTTTCAAAAAAAAAGAAATGGCTTTAAGGCTCTCTGTAATTAAGAACACTTCATGATTGGCACTTTGTTGATACAGTGCTGATTTAAATTAACCGGACAAAACGCGTTTAACTTGAAATTTAAAACGCATTTTTCTCAAATTGGGTTGAGTTTAGGTGAAAACTTATGAAGACAAAACTCGCTTAAAATTTTAGCAGAATTAATATCGTGTATTTGTTTTGCGAAATTCGGGCCCAAAATTTTACCCCAAAAATGGGTCATTTTGGCTTTTTTTAGTTAATCAAAAACTACGCCGAAAATACCAATTATATCAAAACTTACATAGCCCAACAAACTTTAAGAAGGGTATAATCTCCAAAAAAAATTGCAAACTGTTTAAAAAAATGTTTTTAAATAAAAAGTTGGTATTTTACATAGTAAAAATGACCTTTTTTGTCTACCAAACAAAAATAAATTAACTTATACAATATTTTGGAGATTATACCCTTCTTAAAGTTTGTTGGGCTACGTAAGGGGCTCACTTTGATATAATTATGAGTGTGATCGAGTGGGTATTTTCGGCGTAATTTTTGATTAACTAAGAAAAGCCAAAATGACCCATTTTTGGGGCAAAATTTTGGGCCCGAATTTTGCAAAACAAATTACACCATATTAATTCTGCTAAAATTTTAAGCAAGTTTTTCTTGATAAGTTTTCACCTTAACTCAACCCAATTTGAGAAAAATGCGTTTTAAACAACAAGTTTAACGCGTTTTGTCCGGTTAATTTAAATCAGCACTATACAATTCACCCAATTTGAGAAAACTGGATCAAAAAGTAGTTTTTATAACGCTGGGAAATCTGAAAATTTAATTCCACATTTGAAACAAGAAGTCGATCACATTTTTCGCTTTTGTTGCTCGATAGTGCAGTTTGCCTTCCCTTCAACAGAGGAAATGAACTCAACTTAAAAAAAATTAAAATCAAACCGCGAAAAAATAAATTTGAGCCTGAATAAACTTTTACGAAAAAAAACATCAAGACCTACTTAAGAGTCTGAACTATGTTCATTGACTCTTAAAAATTAAAGTCCTCTTTTGTTACTAAAAGTCATTAACATTTTTTTTTCGCTCCATTTGCACATTCGCTATTTGAATGCGTAATTCTTCTTCGTTTTGTCAAAAATCGACGACCTAAAGAAGTGATAAATCAAAATCACTTCGTTCCTTACCACTTTAAAGTGATCTGAATACTAAGTCATTTCAGCATCATCTTACAACTATCTTATTTTAGAACTTACTCCAGATATTAAAACCTATTTTAGCAGCTTATTTTACAAACACTCCTGCTACGTAGAAAAAAATTCAACATTTAAATAAATTCGGTGAAAAAACACTTGCTTTTTTAGGCTAGTGTGAGATCGGAACTTTCTGCGCTGCTTGAAGAAAACTTTGGTTGGTTACTTTTAGTTCCTAATTGCCCACTATAAACTCACCTGAGCGCCGTGGTCTTGAGTGCATCTGCACACTCTAGTATTCTGTGTAAGGCAGTGTCCGCCCCTATGGTCATGTCTGTGCCACAGAAGTCATTGTCAATGGACCCCACCAGGCCCACAATTTGCAAGTGGGAGTTGTACTCCTTCTGCACTGATGTAATTTCACCTGCAATGCAATAAATAACACTGGACCAGGAAGTCTCAAATAATCTCACAAAAAACAAGAGTAGGTAAAAGAATTGGTATAAAAATGACTGGTTGGTATAAAATTGGGATTAGGGCTAACTCAAAAAACAAGCCCCACAAATTGAATTACAGCCTCAAATTTTTTTGAAGCTTTTTTATTATTATTATTAATATTATTTATATGATTATTATTGGTGTTCTACAATTGCCGACAGAATCTGTAGTGGAAACTCATGGGCGAGCAACTGGAGCCATTAGGGCAATCCGAATTTAGACATTTGATCCAAAAACTAAATCAGAAATGCAAAAATAGTAGCTCCTGAACGTATCAAGTAAAAAATCATTCTATTCATTTGGGAATCAAAATCGGGTCCGCTATTGCTGAAGTTATCCGAAACAAATTTTATTAGCCTGCCCAATTCGGATTATTTTTCTGATATACCAAAATATATTTTTTCCGACTTCTGAAGAAAATTCGAAAAACTTATACTTAGCTTGTTTTTTATTCAGTCAATTTTCAACTTTTGACTAGCTTTTTGACAGAATCTTTTATACCACCTGAAAGATTGATACATTCAAGTCAATTTCATTTTGAGACATCTGAAACAATCTAAATTTTAGCAAAAAACACTAATTCTTGCGCCTTATTACTCTTATGACGAATGTAACGGAGCTAAGCAAGCGTTCGCTACCTGCCAATGCCGTTTGTATTCGATGAAATTTAGAATTATTGCTGCAATGATAAATTGGCCAAAATGTCTCCGGCTGAATTGCTTGGACTTTTTAGCCGAATTTTTTAAATTTCAAATTGGCTGAAATGTCCCTTTCTTAAATGTCGCGGCAACAAAAAATTCAGTAATAATTTCTGGTAAGGCTATGTTGCTTTGAATATTCCTAATTTGGGATAATTAACGCGCGAAATAAAGCGTTCTTTTAAACACCTAAGCGGCGGATTAATTTGAAATGAAGCAAGAAATGTAGTCTTATTTATTGGGAAAAGAGACGCTTAAGTCATCCCTTAGTCTTTTACATTAGCGTGTAGGGAGATAAAAAAAAATTCAAAAATTATTTTAGCAATTTTTCAAGCTAATTTTTTTTATTGGCGTTAAAGTGCAACTAAAACTTTCAGAGCTGCGCACTGGTATACGAGAAGTCAAATCATAATAGGTTTCGACTAATTTCGAAGAAAAAGACGAAAAAATTGTCCTCGGGTATTTTTTCTCCAGACCATTTTCGGCTGAATTTTTTTCATAATATCTGACAGGTATTAAGTATTATTCTCCTGAGCTCAAACTTAAAAAGTTATTTTAACTGCGACCGTTTTTCCTCAAGTTACTAGGGTTTAAAAATTGCCAATTTGGGATAACTCACGCTGAAAAAAATTTGTTCGAAATTGAATTGAGTCATGCTATTTATTCTAGTTAATATGTTACTATCGCTTAAAAAAATCACTTTTACTTTCAATAGCTTGAGGGGATGATTTTCAAAAAACATTTCTCTAATTTCATCAGTTTATTTTAAATTGAACACTGTGCCATAGACGTTAGAGGGCAGTCGGACCACTCATGGCGTCCCTGTAATACGAGCAGTCTTGTTTCATTCACGTCTGCTCCTTTTTGTTTTCAAAGCTCGTAAAACAAAAATAAACATCCTTTCAACCTCACTGGTATCAGAATCGCATGGCAATGGCGCATGAACACTTTGTTGGTCAATTTAGAAAGCTTGTTTTCCAATAAAAAATTTATTTACCTATCTTATAACACCATTAACAAAACAGATGTTTCGGTTATTTACAACATTTGCTGATTTTATCAGTCTCATTCACTGGCATTGCGATTATTATTTCAGGAAATTAATATTCTATGCGCCGCAAAATATCCACATAAGGGTCATAAAGACATACGTTCCCAAAAGAAAGTTGAAATTATCCAATTACAATTGGATATTCAAGACAAGCACATTTGGTAAATTAGAGGATTTTTGATGATTGGAAATTTCTGCGAGTTGTGATTTCTGATATGAAAATAGCCTCCGTAATTTACCAAACTATGCTAATCCTTAAATCTCAAGTTTTCATCTCAACAAGTATTGATTCACATTACACCGTCCGTCTGCGTACTAGTATTTTTACTCTAAAATCAATTTAATTTATAAGCAGGTCATTACCATCTGAATAAATCAACTCAAAGGCGCGACATTTACTAGCTAATTGTGGCAATTTATGTGGAAAATCGGAATTCAATAGAAATTCTAGAATCCGAAAGAAAAAAATTAATGTAATTCAAATGTGGCATATTTATGATGGAGCGCAATCGATTCCGCTAAAGACATGCAGCGACTAATTAATTTTTAAGGTGGCATATTTATGACGGGGCGCAATCGATTCCGCTAAAGACATGCAGCGACTAATTAATTTTTAAGGTGGCATATTTATGACGGGGCGCAATCGATTCCGCTAAAGACATGCAGCGACTAATTAATTTTTAAGGTGGCATATTTATGACGGGGCGCAATCGATTCCGCTAAAGACATGCAGCGACTAATTAATTTTTAAGGTGGCATATTTATGACGGGGCGCAATCGATTCCGCTAAAGACATGCAGCGACTAATTATTTTTTAGGGCGTTTTTACAATCGTGTGCCTTACACTGAGCAATTACCGATTTGCTAATTTAAGCGCAGATGCAAAAAAGTTTTCATGAATAGAAAATAACATCTACTCTTTCGGTATAATCAAGCATTTTCAGTTACTAAGAAATTAGCCGACAGACTGTAGGAAAAGAGTCAGTGAACGCAAGTACACAGCAAAAAAATACGGACGTGCAAATACGGACTTGGAAACACTGGAATTTCAAAGTTTCGAATTTCAAAGTAAAATTTTAAAAATAGATAGTTTTAAAGCTCTTTATAGTTCAAGTACAACTTATAATCAATTTTATGTATAAAAAAAAACCCAACTTGAAAAAACTGGATCAATAGGTGAAAAATTTTATTTCGCCGGGAAGCTCGATATTTAAACTCCACTTCTAGATGTCATGTCAATCACGATTTTCGTGACCTATACATTTTCGCAGTTCGATAGTGGAGTTTGCCTTCCTTTAAACAAAAAAATGAACTGAAATTGAAAAACATCAAAGGTCGAACCGGCAACAAGTAATTTTGAGCCTGAACAAATTTGAAGACTTTCTGAAAAAAAAATTATCACGACCTATATAAAACACTGAACTACGTTCATCGGCTCTTAAAAATTACACTGAACTACGTTCATCGACCCTTTGAAGCTCTTGGAAAATTAAGAATCTTTGATGTATGAATTTTTTTCAATAAAAAGAACCCAAGCGGAGAAAGATGAAAGAAAATGTAAACTTTGGTCCCGCAGGGAAATTTAAAAAAAGAGATTCAGTAGAAAAATATTGAAACAAAAATTGGAAGCAGCTTTTTCTCAATACTGATAAATCTTCAAGAAAAATGTAAGCCTTTGTAATAACTTTCATGTTATACATCAATTCAGATAATGTCAATTGCTGCGATCTGAAGGGGAGGATCTGAATTGCTGCGATGTTATCCGAATCTCAAAAGTTCCTCTCTACACGGTCGAAAAAAAAACAGCTACCTTTCTCATGTAACTCCTCAACAAGAGTAGGCCACTCCTCCCTGAACAAATTGGCCCCAGTCAGACTTCCATCTCCTCCTATGACCACCAGGTTTGTGATGCCTTTGTTGATGAGGTTGCGAGCAGCACGCAGTCTCCCGGGCTTCTCGCGGAATTCCTTGCATCTTGCAGTTCCGATAAAAGTGCCGCCCTGAAAAAAAAACAACACGGTCGACTAAAAAAAAGATTTACGCATCGCATCTCGAATGAAAATAATATAGACGCGAAGCTACACTTCGAAAGACAACGAAAAAATATTTCTCCAGTCAGCATTATCAATTTAACATTTTAATTTAAAAATTTATTAAATAAACCTAATGAGCTTCCAAGAGGGCCGACATCGGAACCATCATCTGGTCTTCTAACGTCCACTCTTGTTTAGTTGAATAACAAATTTTAAAAACAAGATTTTTTAAAATTATATTTGTAGTTTAAGTCGATTTTGAACAATTTTTCAAATCGAAAAAAGAGTGTAAATGGCACAACAGCAGAAAATTATCTGAACTTTGGGGTAATAAAGAAGGTAGTAATATAGAAAATGTGGGTAATAAAGCAACAAAAACCTGAGGAAAAGGAGAAAAAATTTTCCTGTTCCGACCATTGAAAATGGGGAGGAACTTTTGCCTTCGGGTGTTTTCGTTTTTTTTTCCACATAAACCAGATACAACAAATATTTACCTAAATGAGTCGAACGATGTCTCATATTGAATCCCTTATAGTCGTGATTCGAACGAAACCAAAATATTTCAAAAAGTTAGAATTTTTGAGTCAGTCTAATTTTGAGCGATTGAAGCAAAAATTACGTCTTACAATGTATATTAGTCTTTTTCTTATTTTTCAGATCAAGCCTTGAAAATTTAGTTTTACTGAGTAGTCGAAGTTGTCTAGCGCATTCTTTTTTTCCAACTTTTTTGATAGCCTTTTTCTTTTCCTTACACCAGGATATCTGTTGTCGAATCGACCAAGTTACCATTACTACCGTATCTGTCTAAGTTTTGGACTTTTCTTCAAATAATTTCATCTCACAACCAACAGAAAACAATAAAACTTGAATTTTCGTGATAATCAAATAATTGGTTATTACTTATTTGATAACGTTCCTTCTTTATATATATATACTTTATAAATTATACTTTTTAAATTGAGTCGTTTCTTGTGTCGTGGTTGGTTTGTTGAGCGGATCTGAACTTAAGCCTGGAACTTCGACATTTTCGATTAGTGATAATAAAAACACAGAGACGAAGCAGCAGCTTCGCGAGCAAAAGCGAGAAAGCCGCAAAAGATTCAGAAGCACAAAACACTAAACGCATAAATTATGCATGTATTAATTTGAAATGCAACAAAAAAATTAAAGACAACCACATGAACTTCGCGTGCAACAAATGGGAAGATATGAGTCAAGTCATGTATAAATTATGCATTTCAAAAATTTCGCAATATTGAGTATATGTGGAACATTGAAATAGGAATGTTCCCATGGATATATTTTTCAAACAAAAAAATAAAAGAGAAATAGAAAAAAAACATTGCAACCGGCTCTTTCGATTGAACCCTTCATCTCAGATTTGATACGGTAGTTTCTAAGTAAATTCAAAAAGTTACAAACATACAGTCAAAAGTGTAAAAACATGACTTTCCAAAATCCATAACGTTTTTCTGCTAAACGAAGGTCGTAGCCACTTGAGCATAGGAAACTCCCAACGCAGCATTCTCGGTTTAACACTTAACTTAAGAATTGGCAGAGTAGTTTTCGAGAAAAGTCAAAAAGTTTCTAAAAACAGCCAATAAATAAAAAACTTGCTTACCTAACAACATAATTTTTTGTGTAAAAAATTGGCTGTAGCCGCTAATGAAGAAAAGAAGACTCAAACAACTTGTCGTTTCATTTGAACGCAAAAACTCAACATTTGGGAGGCATTTTTTGAGAAAAGTCAAAAAATTCAAATAAAGGTCAAAAACTCAAACATACACTATTCAACGCAAATTATTTTTTTGTGTAAAGTAACGCAAAGTAGTTTTTGAGAAAAAGAGAAGAGATCCAAACATATGGGTCAAAATTCCCCCACAGACTTTTTCGAAGGCTGTAGACAGTAGGCCAAAATAGAAAAATATACTCAAGGATTATCCGCAAAAAGGAGTGGGTGGACTTTTCATTAACCTTTTTTGAAAATAGAAAAAATAGTTTTCTATCGAACTAAAATTTTTTGCAGAAAATGAAAAAAAAATTTCATATGCCTTTTTTGTATTACAACAACTTTCGAGCCCTCACAACTACATAGAATAAGTTGAGTACAATACAACATCAGCCAAAATCGTTTAATCGAAGAAAAAAACTGATAATATACCAAAAATCAGAATTGACAAATTACAGATCTTTCAACTAGTAAAAAATTTTCAATTATAGTATAAAGGAAAAATGACAAATTACAGAACTTTCAATGATAAAAAAATTTCAGAAAAAAATCCATGTTCAACAAAGTAGGCCGATAAAAATTAGTACCAGATAAACTGAATGCCAATTTAGAAAAACAAAAAAATGAACCTGACTGAAACTATGCCGAAAACCACGAATCCGAAATTTATTTCAAAAAATAATTACGTCACGAAAAGTACTCCACTTATATACTACTACTTAGATGCGGTAGTTTAGACACTGGTAAAATCATGATACAACCCACAAAGCAGAGAAAACGACAGATTTAGAAAAAATCAAATATCAAAAAACATGTAGCACCTTAAAACACTTAATATTTTAAAAACTTCAAATGATGGAAACTTTCTTGATTCAACTAACTTAATCTGAAAAAAAAATGAATCAATAGTAACTTTTTGTTACTTTGGGACATCTATAAAATATATTTGTCATCTGAAACTAAAAAAACAATACCATGTTTTTGTACCACTAACACTTCCAATTGCAAATGAATGAGAATTGAATTAGAAAAAGTAAGTCCAAAGTCAAACCTCTAAAACAGAATTTGCCCGTGAACCAATTTTGAGACTTCTTGCTGAAAATCAAACAAAGAAAAATATGAACTAAAACAAACTTAAACGCGAACTAAAACAAACTTTCCAATGCTACAGATAGTGATTATAGAAAAAGTGCCACCAAATAAGTGAGCACTTCAAGTGAACAGTTTTATATGCAAATTAGTTTAGAAAAAAAGAAGAATCGTACGATTACACTATGCTTCGCAAGCTGGCTAGAGTAAATAGCAGTTAAATCAACCGATAAGTGAGTTTTCTTTACAGATATATTGAACGTAAAGTTTTTCTGTTAAGTTTCTGATGTGTTTTTCTCTTAAAAAGAGATTCGTTGATGATTCAGTTCGGCTTACAAAAATCATGTCATTGGCATGATCGGAAATGTATTTATTATTTTGTCTTTGAATGAGTTCAAAGACAAAATAATTTCAGATTGTTATCGAAAAATCAACAAAAAATAAGTTAACTTTAAGCTTCAATTTTTTCGATCTGTTATGATATGCCTTGATAGAAAAAACTCAAAATTTTTCCAGAGGAAAGTAACTGAAGTTGAAAAGAAATCAAATGTCAAACTGCGCAAAAAAAATTTTGAGCGTCAGCAAGCTTTAGGATTTTTCTTGAAAGAAAAAACAAATCAAGAGAAAAAATCACGATTTATTTAAGAGGCTTCTTTAGATTCATTGGCTCTTGAGAGCAAATCCGCTTTTGAAACTAAAAATAAATTTTTTGTTTCAAATTACTTGCGCCGGAGACAACAATTCTCCGTCTATTTACAAAAAGAGTTTGAAGTAAATAAAATCAAAGTTAAAGCACTAGAATCTAAAATTTGGTCTTGAAAAGAAAACAAACTAAAAACCACACGACCTGAAAGTAATATAAAAAAATCAAAAAGAAGAAGAATATATTGAAATCTGAACACTCTGATAAAAAAGATCCTACAGAAGATTATCAAAAAAAGAAAGAAAACATTGAAGCAGCTTAAAAAAGCGGCAGTTGTCTGGATTCCCTTATATTCTATAAAATATATATTTTTCTCAAAGTGGCTTTGCACGGATAATTCTGTATAGACGACTGAAAAAATCTTTGTTCAAACCGAATGAATTTGTTCAGCTCGTTTTTATCACTTCAGGATGTTACGCCATGATCAATTGAACAAAGACAAGAAATCGACCAGTCTAGCAAACTGATTACATTACTTGACCACCACTAATTAGACCTGAGAATCCAATCAAGCTAGAATTTCCTTTTTTTTCATAACTACTTGTTCATACCATGCGACTTCCATGTGCATCAATGAAACATAATGATCTTCAGATAGAGCAGTAAACGGAAAAGTAGGCATGTCAATAAGCAGACACACTTTTCAGTTTCCATTCATTGTGCAATTTTAGAGAGAAAAAACTACGTAATATTCCCCCGACACTTTTGAAAGCAATATAAATTTTTCAAGTTTTCCCAAAAATTAACTCAATTTGAATAATTTAGTTTGAAATAAATTAAAAAAACAACCGAATTGCAAATGAATATTTCAAAAGCACGCTTCGTATGCTCTTTCAGACAATCAGATTTGAGTAATGTCAAATTATTCTGCTAAATGATCAGTATGTCAATTGAAGGTATGAAGGGAATTGCTAGTCATACCATAATCTACGCTCTGATGAGTGGCATGTCTTCTGAGACCTAATTTGTAAAAGATGTCTGTTTTTCAACCAAGTACTATTTTTCAGACTTAAAACTAATCTGTTTATGTCAATCAACGTAATAGACATATCAAATGTTGGTAATTGAGGTCAATCAAATCAACTAGGTATGTCTAGCCGAGAATAGCTCCCCCCTATGACCCTATGATATTCCCAAATCCCAATAAAACTAACAATGAGACTTAAAAACATCAGTTTTAGAAATGATTTTCTCAGTTCATCTAGAATATTTTCAAAGCTCAATTTCTATTGATACACTTGCCGGTGAGTCGTATTTATAAAAAAAAATCTGAGCACCACTATTTTTTTAAATATTTGATCCAACCGGAAACAATGACTTTCAGATTTCCGAAAAGTATTTCGAAAAAATGCGTCGATCTTTCATGTTTGAAAAAGTCTCTTAAGAATATTTAAATAAAACTACTTAATGCTTACTAGTTCTTAAGCAATGAAATGAAAAGAACCA